TCCTTGTGCTTTTTCTTAGTTTCTGTGGCCTCTACCTGGATCTCATCAACATCGGCCACCCCTGTCTCCGTGTCCACAGGTAGGAGCTTCCTCTCTCTGATTTCTCCTTACAAAACTCAGGTGTTCTGGGCCTGTGGCAGATATCACCTGAGGACTCATGAGGCTTCATCTATTACTCATTCACGCAACAAGATCTTATTACATATGTATTGTACAAAAGCGTCTGATAACATGTCCTGAATACAAAAGAAAGTGCCCCAGACTTTGACCACAATACAAGGAAAGACCTGGCTGTAAAACAAAATACTGAATTACATTCGTGGGTGAAACTTGCCAGTGTACCGAGTACACTGTATTTTATGTACTGAGTTTTCAATTTCAAGAAAGGAGGAAAAACCATGAGCTACTCTGAGCCCAGAAAGATCCTATGGTTCTGTAGGTCTCTCCTGCTCACCAATTTATGGAGCCTCTGGTAAAGCTAAAGCTTAGCTTTCCATCCCAGCCTCTAACTGATGCAGGGTAGATTTCTACAGCACCCCTAGCCCTGGTGAGGGTACTGGGTGAGCTGTGTGCTCGCTCTCTGCAGTCTCCAGTTACACATCAGCAAGAGGCTCTAGAGTGTGTGCCTAGCACTGACTACACGGGCATCATATATTCCTTCTGTAGCCTGGGCCCAGCTGGGGTACGGGGTGGAGGGGTTGGCACCACGGACTGAGGAGCACAGAGCCCGGTTTCAAATCTGCTTTGGACATGTAGAGCCTGTGTGGCTCGGGCACACTGTTCACCTTCCCACTGTCTGAGTTTCACATCTGTAAGATGGGTATCAGGATGCTTTCTCCCTCCAAATCAACAAGGCCAACGCAAGTCATCACATATAATGTTGGTTTGTTGTTGCTGCTGTTTTTAAGTGGCAAATCTTTCACAACAGATCCTGAGAGAACTAGAACTTACTTTTTTTCTTCAATTTTTAAAAACTCAATAAATATGTGGATCTCAGAACAACAATTGGGGTTAAAAACTCAGAAGAGATAATGTGGGGATTTTGCTCCCCAGAAGGTCAGATCTATTTGCCTTCAGCTTGGCAGTCCATTTACCTCTACAGAGCAATTGTTCATATTTACCCATGATGCAGTTGGGTTAGTGCTGACCTAGGAGCTCCCCAGCCTGAGGAGGACCTGTCCATCCTAGAGGAAGACGCTCCCAGGGACTGAAGTTACACACAGGATGTGACCCAGACTCAGGCTCACACAGCCAGCATGGGCTCAGTGCATGTCTCTCTCCCACTCCCGCTGCAGCAGCCATCCCTCTCCTGGTGCCATTCACCATCAACTTTACCATCCTCAACCTGCTGTATGAGGAGGACATGAGTCACCCTGGGTCCCAGAAGTTTAACTTCACTGAGAGAGTCCTGCAGAAATTGGTGAGAGCCCTGCCCACGGGGCTAAACCACGCCCACCTGAGTAAGACCCGCCCACATGTCTGGGGCCCTGCCCACAGCACTCAGGCTGGTGCCAGCCCCACCCACAGCAACCCACACCCTGCTCATCTCATTTGAAGCCACGCCTTCCTCTCCCCAAGCCACACCCCCTACACCAGCCCCACCTACCTTACCCCTGCCCAGAGCATCTCAACAATGGCCTAGCTCCTCCTGGTTCTCCTTCCTGATGCTTCCTCATTTCTGTCTTTCCTCACAGCTCCAACCCTTGTTGAAGAACAGCAGTGTGGGAGCCCTCTATGCAGGCTGCAGGCTGACTTCTCTCAGGTAAGATGTCCAGGAACATATGCTCACACTTCCATGCTCCCCGACCCGGCTCCTGAATCGACCTTGTTCCCCGCCTGCCCAGTGGAGGGGCTCTGGGTGCCTGAGATGCTGCACCTGCAGAGCTTCCTCCCCAGACTTCGTCCTCTCAGGATTCTGTTCTATCTTCTTCTGGTTCTAAGCAGTGTAGACCTCTCCCAGGAGTGAATGCTCAGCAATTTCCAAAACTATTCTCTACTTGGAAAACTTAAAAAGCAAATTGAAAAGTCTTTGTGGCCCACACACTCCTTAACCTACATTGACAGTGCTCAAATGTGCTGCATCTAGTGCATTTCCAGAGATCTTGGGCTGCCCAACCTGTTTGTTTGTTTGTTTGTTTGTTTGTTTCCCTTGGCCTAGGCTAGAGTGGTATGAGGCTGGTATAAGATAAATATCTCTAAATACAAAAATACAAAATGCTTCAAAGTCGGAACCTTCTTGATTCCTCATAATAGGATTCAAACAATTTCAAATTTTAGAGGATTTCAGATTTTCAGAGCAGGGATGCTTAACCAGTGCAGGTTATGCATGTCCTCTAGATCTGAAGACTCAGAAATGGTCCCAAATATTGCAGATACCAGGTACTAAAACTTCTAAGTGAATACTGAGTCAGGACCTTGCCAACACCTGTCTCAAGTCCCCTTCTGCATCTACAGATCATTTATAAATTCTGGACTTTTTGTTTCCTTTATTTTGCTCTCCTTCTAAGCAGTCTAATTCAGCTTTGTAGCATTTCCAGACATCCTGACAAGACACCCTCCTGACCAGTCTTGCTTATGTCCCTATCCATGTGCCCCTCCCTAGGCCTGAGCAGGACGGATCAGCCACCAGAGTGGACCTCATCTGCACCCATCGCTCCAAGCCCACAGGCTCTGGGGTGGACAGAGAGCGGCTGTACTGGGAGCTGAGCAGTGAGACCCACAGTGCGACCCGGCTGGGCCCCTACAGCCTGGACAGGAACAGCCTTGATGTCAACGGTCAGTGGTCTGCAGCAGCAGCATGGCTTTCCTGTGGGTCTCGATGCAACTGTGTGCTCTGGGCTTCTCACACACAGGACAGGGTGCATCTTCACAGCTGTCCCCACACTGGGCAACTTAGTGGCTTAGCAAGACTCCGTCTCAAAAGAAAAAATAAAAAGTGCTGGAGGTGTTGCTCAGTGTGAAGGCCCTATATTCAATCCCCATAGTGAAATACAAAAACAGTACAAAAAGGAAATAATCAAGGAGCCCCAGATTGCTGGCATTTTCCCATCCCCTGCCCTTCCAGTCCTCACCCTTTGTTTCCCTGTTTCTCCAGGTTACACCCATCGGTACCTGCCCTCCACCCCGAGCAGTGAGTAATTTGGGGCCCAGCATCACTGTACCTTGGACCCAACTCTTCTCTCCCTTAACCCCTACCTCACATGCCCCACGAAGGACGGAATAGGAACCCCGTAGGAAACAGGGAAAGGGGACGTTACTAGAACCTCTGCAGTAAGTCCTGGTCTCCTGTGAGCCACGGCAGCACAAGGCAAATTACAGGAAAGGTAGAAAACTGAGACTGAGAAGAAGCTGAGCTTTGGGTCTGATCAGTGCTGCTCTGGGCAGCAAAGACGAAAGCCCCCAGCTTACCGCACCTTTTATTCAGCACATCGGAAGAAACAAATGTAACAAACGACCCGCAGAAAGTTCAGTACATTGGGATAAACAAAGTGACAAATGACTGGAGGGCAGGAGAAATCCAAGAACAAGAAGGAACTGAGTAGATGAAGATTTTGTTCCTCCCAGGATGTCTCCCGCTGGTGTAATCTTGTCCTGGAGAATTACAGCATCACTGGATCATTGAGGTCTCAGTTGTGACTGGGGCCAAAATGGAATTATGTCTCAGAATGACATAGCTGGCCTGTAGGCAGGAGAACTAGGCTTAATCAAATGGTTTTTTCCCCTAAAATTATGTAGCATTGCTCCCGACAGAAGCCCTCGTCTCTCCCCAGCTCAGCCCTAACATAAGCTTCAGTTCAAATGGGACAGTGGTCTTCAGATCCCATGGTGGACCCTCCTTGGCGGGGGAATCCCATCTTTGCCTTATTGGTTTTTCTTTTCTTTTCTCTTCTTTTCTTTTCTTAGTTTCTGTGGCCTCTACCATGATCCCAACAATGTCCTCAACCCTTGTAGGAGCTTTCTCTCTGTTTTCTTCCTACAAAACTCTAGTGTTCTGGGGCTGTGGGATGTATCACCTTGTTCGTGAACCTATGGAGTCTTGCTTGGGCTGATTCCATCCACAGCCTCCTACTGGTTGAGAGTAGATTTCTACAGCATCCCCTGGCCCTGCTGAGGGTGCTGGGTGAGCTGGCATCCTCTGTCTTACTCCAGTCTCTAGTTACACTGCTCCAGTGTGACATTGTCCAGGTGTGTCACCTGGACCTGTCTGTGGTCCCAGACGGAGGGATGAGGAGCACAGACTCGGGGAACACAGAGCCTGTACTCGAATCTGGTTCTGACGTTTAGAGACTATGCAACTTTGGCAAAGTATTTAAATCCCCACTGGCTCAATTTTCACGTCTGTAAAACAGGCATCATAATGCTATTTCCTTCCAAAGCAGTGAGTTCAAGGTAAGTCTTTTAATATATTAAAATACGTTGATTTGTTTTTAAATTTAAAAAGGTAAGTAAAGAATTTAAAATAGGGCCTAACATATAAAAATGCAACATATGTGTTTCTTCAAAAGATTTTTAAAAATAAGTAGGTAAATATGTGAATCTCAGAAAAACAATTTGGGTTAAAGAAAACCTCGAAAAAGGAGAATGTCTGTCAGAATTTTAGCCACCTGGAGGGTCAGATATGTTTTCTTTCTGTTTGACAGTGCATTTCCCGCTATAGAGCAGATTTTCTATACTTTTCCGAGAGGCCCTTGAGTTACTGCTGTCACCGGAGGTCTCCCCACTGAGGAAGAAGAACTTCCCACTGCTTGAAGATGAACATGTGGGATGCCCCGTGTTTAGGCTCACACAGCCAGCACAGGCTCAGTGCGTGTCTCTCTGCCACTCCCACTGCAGCGGCTGGTCCCATCCTGGCACCGTTCACCATCAACTTTACCATCCTCAACCTGGAGTATGAGAAGGACATGCATGAGACTGGCTCTCAGACGTTTAACTTCACGGACAGAGTCCTGCAAAAAGCGGTGAGAGCCCTGTCCGCAATGCTTTGCCCCACCCACTGAGTAGGCCACGCCCCCTCAAACCACACCACGCCCCCTCGCCCTCTCAAACTAGATGCCGGCCCTGCCCACGCCCTCCCACCTCACAAAGCCCCGCCCACCTGCATCAGACCACGCCCACCGACCTGCTCAGTCCTTTGATGCCAGCCCCACCCATCCACCTCCCCTGTCTCACCTGCTGATAAAGGCCCAACCCAACTCTGATGACCTTGCCCTTGCCTCTCAGAGCATCTTTCTCTTCTCTACAGCTCCGGCGCTTGTTCAAGAACACAACTATCAGCCCCCTCTACTCTGGCTGCAGACTGACCTTGCTCAGGTGAGTCCTGGGGGTAACTGGCCAGGGCTGCTGTCAGTGATCCTAGGTCCAGAGAGTTTGTTCAGCTTCCCTCCGGACCCTTTATGAATGTCTTAGCCTAGGTGGGATTCAGGAGGCACCAAGATGTCTCCTGGTCCCTAAGGAACTTTCCTCTGATCCTGCAGAGTTCAGGATTGGGCCTTGGCCTTCTTCATCCATTCTGAAATCCTTCCTTCCTTTGCCCCGTAAAGTACAAGTGAATTTCTTTCAGGTTTCAAATACTGGCTTTTCTCTTATCACAAATATGCCTTCTCCATTTGCTTTTAATTTCCAGCTCTTTACACATCTCAAGTGCGACCTTTCCTGTCTCTGTGCACACAGAGTGCAGCCTTTAGACTCACCATTTAAATGTGTCTCTTACCTATCAGCTCTTTTCATTGGTCCAGAATGCTCAGAAGTCAGGACACTATGAGAATCAAAGCTTTTTCTTTGTCACCTCTCTACAAGCTTCTCATTTTATTCTGGCCCCTTCCTGTCATTTTCCCAAGAATCTCAATGCCCTCCTGACCAGTTCCCTTTCTGTCATTCCCCTTTCCTGCCTTCCCCAGGCCTGAGAAGGATGGGTCAGCCACAGGAGTGGACATAGTCTGCACCTATCATCCTGAACCTATGGGCCTCAAGCTGGACAGAGAACAGCTGTACTGGGAGCTGAGCCAGCTGACCCATGAGGTCACCCATCTGGGCCACTACAGCCTGGAAAAAAACAGTCTGTATGTTGACGGTATGTGGTGGCCAATATTGTGCTGCATTTTAGAGCCCACAGTATCATCTTCTAGGCCTCCTTTACTCCTCCTCCACCTTCCAACACTTCCTCACTCTCTTTTCCCCCCCCTCTCTCTCTGCAGGATACACCAACAGGACTGTGGTAGCTACCCCTAGTGGTGAGTACTCAGTAACCATCAAAAGTCCCCACCACAGCCAGAGAAGGAAGCACCAACCCCCTGCCCACATCTCCGACTTTCAGGAAAATAAGGAGTGGGGGTCCAGGCTGAGAAGTCTTTGCAGGAACAACTAGCTGTTCATCACTTCCACTTCTGTTCGCAAAGAAATGCGATTAAATCTCAGGGGTGGATGAAGGAAGTAAAAAAGTGAATAGTTCAACAGAAATACTGGAAGTGAGAATGTTTGATTGACACTTCTGTCCTCAAAGACTAACAGCTTCCAATTCACTCCGTGTGTTCCTGCAGCATGCAATGCTCTAATGTTGTCCACAACTGGTGATTCAGATCTTTGACCCCATGGATCCTCAGTCATTGTTATGGTCTTTATTGAGAAGCCCCCCGGTCTCAAACCTGTGGCCCTGGATCCTACCTCTCCCCAGTATACATCCCAGCCCTGACTCAGCACACCCTCTCCTCTTCCTCCCCTGCTGCACCCACAGGACCAGCCCTAGTGCCCTTCACCCTCAACTTTACCATCACCAACCTGCCATATGAGGAAGACATGCAGCCTGGAGAGTCCGGGAGATTCAGTACCATGGAGAAGGTCCTGCAGGACCTGGTGAGAGCCCCGCACACCTAAATCACATCCCACTCACCTCTTTGATATCTGCACTACCTAACCATGCTCAGGTGGCTCCTCCCTCTCAAAATATCCACCAACCTCCTATTCTTTTCTCCACAGCTCAGGCCCTTGTTCAAGAACACTACTGTTGGCTCCTTGTTCTCTGCATGCACACTGACCTTGCTGAGGTGAGATCTTACAATAGCTAGCCCAAGGCTTTCCAAAGTGCTCCCAAGCCCAGGAGTTTGGTCAGCTTTCTCTTTTCCTCTCTCCTGAATGTTCTCTTCGCCCAAGAGACATTGGCTCCAAGCACCACGATCTCTCCTGACCCCACTACCTTCTCCCACAACTGTCCTCCAATTCTGCAGTCCATCAGCAGGATCATATCCCTGGCATGGTCATACATTCCAAACTCCTTCTTTCCATCTCTCCCTTTCACATGAAGGATGTGTCCCTTGAGTTTTCAGTTTTGTCTCTGAGATTTCTCTCAATACAAACAGGCATTCTCCACATGCTCTAATAACCAACTCCAGCTTGTATCTGTCACTTTCTCATCACAAGGACAAAGTACTGGACATTCACAATTTAAAGGAGAAGGGGTTTATTTTGGCTCACATTTTCAGAAGGTTCAGTCCATGGTTGGTTGGCTTTCAAGTCAGAAATGGCATGATGAAAGGATATGGCTGAGGACAGCTGCTCATGGCTGAATGAGGGAGAGAAGGAGACAAGAATATACCCTTCCAGGTCCCATCCACAGTGATCCACCTCCTTCCACCATGCCTCACTTTCCAACAGCCCATTCAGCTATGAACTCCTCAATGGATCAACCCACTAATGAGTATAGTGCTCCCATTGTCCAATGAACTTTTAAAAGCTCCACCTCTGAACCCATGAAATTTTTAGGAGACGTATTACATCTAAACCATAAAACAGCCACTCACCTGCTTAAGTACAGCCTTCCCTGTACACATGCCTTGAGAGTGCAGGTTTCAGCCTCACAAATCAGTAACATTTCTCCCACCTACCAGCTCTTTTGGTGGTAACCTGGCCAGAAATCAATGTATGCAGAGAACTATGTTGAGTTAGTAGCCTCCCTCCCAGGCCTCTCATTTCGCCATCCCCTATCTGTCCTTCCTCCAAGAATCTCCCGGGAAAGATATTTGTTATCTTTCCTGTCCCATTTTCTCCAGGTCTGAGAAGGGAGGGTCAGCCACAGGTGTGGACACAGTCTGTACCTATCATCCTGGCCCTGTGGGCCCCACACTGGACAGAAAGCAGCTGTACCAGGAGCTGATTCAGCTGACCCATAATGTCACCCAGCTGGGCAGCTACACCCTGGACCAGAACAGCCTCTATATCAACGGTAAGCAGCAGTCATCTGTGCTCTGCTGTACTGCACCTTCTCCACCCTCTGCTCCAACATCTCCTTCATTCCTCCTTCACCACCCAGCACCTCTTAATTCTCATTCCCTCTCCTGCTCTGCAGGTTACACCCACCAGACTGCAGGAACTACACCCAGTGGTGAGTACCCAGCAGTGGCTCCCAGAAGTCCTCAGGCACATACTGGGAAAGAAGCACCTGTTTCCTGCCAACTTCTCCAGTGATAGAATGAGTCCAGGTCACAGGCTGAGAAGTCTTGGCAATCAAGATTAGTTGCCCATCACATCCATGTTGTTGGATGCTTCTGGCCACATTTCTCTGGGAACTGAGAAGTCCCACCATATCATAGTTAGGTAGATGAAAGGAGAGTAAGTGAGAAATTTAACAAAAACACAAGAAATGAAACGGTTGCATAATAAACTGCCTTCTTCAAAGCTTTGTAGCTTCCAAATATTTCCCCCCTGACCTGCAGCAGTGATAACATAGTGTTGGGCTCAACTTGTGATTTAGACATCAGACCCCAAGGCTCCTCAGACATTGTCATGGTCTCCAGTGAGACAGTCCCTGGTCTCAGGTCTGCATTCCCAGGCCCACTGCCCCTTGTGCAGCACAGGCCTGACCCAGCATGGCCTCTCCTCTCTTTCCTCCCCTGCTGCAGCCACTGAACCACCCTTGGTGCCTTTCACCCTCAACTTCACCATCACCAACCTGCCCTATGAAGAGGACATGTGGCCTCCAGGGTCCTGGAGGTTTAATAACACAGAGAAAGGCCTGCAGGACCTGGTGAGATGCCCCACCCACCCTCCTCTGGCCCTGCTCACCTCAGTCCAGCCCACCCCCTGGTGCTTGTTTTGACAATGAGGATCGCTCCACCTATTTGCTGTATTCATCAATGACTCCCTTGCCTCTGACCCTCAGACTGTCTGTTCTCCCTCCCTCTTCTCTACAGCTCAAGCCCTTGTTCAAGAACACTGCTGTTGCCTCCCTGTACTCTGGCTGCAGACTGATCCTGCTCAGGTGAGAATACAAGGCCAAAGATTCCCCAAGTTCTCCCAGGCCCAAGGATTTTTAACAGTCTTTCTCTCTCTCTCTCTCTCTCTCTCTCTCTCTCCCTCCCTCCCTCCCTCCCTCCCTCCCTCCCTCCCTCCCTCCCTCCCTCCCTCCCTCCCTCCCTCTCTCTCTCCCTCCTCACAAAGCTAGAATTCAGGTGGCACTGGATCTAGCACCAAGGTGTCTTCTGATCCTACTACTTCTTCCTGAACTCTCCTGAAATTCTGCAGTCTTATCAGCAGGATTAGCTCACCTCCCTGGTCATCTCTTTTGAATTGTCACTCTCTCTTCCCTTTACCAATAAGCACATTTTCTTTTGTTATTAAATGCTGTCTCCAGGATCAAAGCAACATGCTTGTCCATTTGCTTGAATTCTCAATTCCAGCTCTTCACCTGTCTGTAGTATGACCTCTTCTGTCCTACTGCTATAAGGATGCAAGCTTGGGTTTTGCAATTTAATAGAGATTAATAAATACCTAACTGCTCACAGTCTGGAGTTGGCTGGATGTCCATCCATTCGAAGCATCTACATCTTGCTTCTCACCTCCCTGTCAGTCTCATTCCCCATGGCCTCCTTCTGTACTGCTTTTATAAATCTCAGGGCCCCTCCATGAGCAGTCCATTCATTGTCACCCATTTGCCCACTCTCCCTAGGCCCAAGAAGGACAAGGCATCCACTGGAGTAGATATGGTTTGCACCTACCACTCCGACCCTGCAGGCCCTGGACTGGACAGAGAGCAGTTACACTGGGAGCTGAGGCAGGGGACCCATGGGGTCACCCAGCTGGGTCCTTACACCCTGGACCAGGACAGCCTCTACATCAATGGTGAGGGGCCATGAACCTTTGCTGAACCCCAGAAAGTTGCATATCCTCTCTCTTTCCTCTATTCTCATCAGTTCTGTTCTTTCTCTACGTGTACAGGTTATAACCAACTGACCCTGACAACTACCTCCAGCAGTAAGTATTATAGATGAAGAATTCTTTATAGTCCTACAAACTGCCTCTACCCAGGCCCCAACCTTTAGGAACAGAAGAGGCCAAGAGCCTATGTCTCTTCTCAATAACACCATAAATGGCACAGGGATCTGTATCTCCTAGTTCCCCCCCTACATGCATCTCCTCCCTGGCATCTCTAGAATTATGGAGTCTACAGCCCCGGCACTTGGAATGTTTTTTTCTCACCTTCTGCCACCAGACTGTCTACACCATGTTGGGATGTGAGTTTCTTCTTTCAACCTGGGTAGGCTTTGCTGCAGAAGGGCCCTATGCCTGACTCACACTGGGCTCACATCAGAGTTCTTTACGCAAAGCATCTTCCTCTCTCTGGGGTTAGGAAGTAGTCCTTGATCCCTGCCAGTTGGCTAAGCTGTCTTCTTTGGTGGTCCAGTCACCAGTGAATCATCTCTCCAGTGGCCAAGTTGCCTCTCCCTTGATGATCTCTCCCATTCCCCTTCCCCGTCATCTCTCCACGGCCCTGCTGGTTACCCCCACATAGCCTCACATATTATCCCCAACAAAGTGCATTCCAGACGACAGCTGGGTGCCTATGAACACCTCCTTTCCCCTCAAAAGCAAGAGCTGCTCAACCAGCCAACTCCTCCTTCTAATAGCTTTTCTTTGGATGGGAAGAAATCCAGAGGAGATGCAGAGAAATGTGAATTGAATTGAGGGTGGCAGGAGTCACCACCCTCTACCCCTCCCACATGCATCCAGTGATGACGCTCTGACTTCAGACTGAATGCAGAAAGAAAAAAGCACAAATTCTTATCATTCTACAGTCCGCACTGCTGCCATCATTCCCTTAAAGGTGGAACCCAGTTTTGATTTCATTTGTGATCTTTTCTTTTTTTCCTCAGCAGCTGTGACCACCATGTCCATCCCAGCATCTTCTCTGGCTTCGCCCCCCACAAGCAGGCCCACAGGTAGGGATGGCCATAGGCTCCTGTTGGTACCAAAATAATTGTTACCAAGTAACTCTAAATCAAATCACTTCTCCCATTGTTCACTCAACTGCCCCAAGAACTCATCCATTTCTGTGCATTCCAGGAACCATCTAATTGCTCAGAGCCCAAGTTCAGGGTCCAGTCCATGACACAGAGCAGCTTCTGGCCTTTGGTCCTCTCATTTCCTGTACATCATTCAGGCCATTGATCTCTGATACTGAAGTCATCACCATCCCCTAAGCCTACTTCCCCTCATTCCCAAAGACAGAGTGCCAACACTGACCCTTCCTGCCACTCACCTCCCACAGCCATCCACCACCCTAATACCATCTTTTCACTTTGGGATACCTCTCAACTCCTTCCTTTCTTGGTCTTTCTTTTCACACAAACTTTATTTAAGCCACCATTGTATTTTTTTTTTTTTTGCTAGGATGACTGCAGCATACTCTAGTCTGGGATCCTACTGTCCTCCTCACAGAAGCTGTAGCCTCCTTCTCAATGTGCATTTACCCACATAATTCTCACCTTATTGGAAATCTTTGGATGACTCCATCTGGTCTACAAGTTTTATTAAAAGCCCTGTGCTGCATGATCATTGTGTCCCCTTTCTGGGGTCATAGGATACCTTCCTTTTTGCATCTACACCTCCCTACAGCCTTAATGAAGGAACTTCAGTTGCCTTGTGTGTATTATGCTTGTCCCCCTGCATGGCCTTTACCCGGGCTATTCCTTTTGCCTGGAGTGCTCTCCCTACTTGCCCCATTTCCATTTACTTAACTTTTTGCCATGCTCTCCATTGCACCTGAAATGATATTCTCTCTAGGGAGTTTTCCTCGTTCATTGATTGGGCTACTTTCCTGAATTTTCATAGCCCTTTTCCCTGCCAACTCCCCCTAAAGCATAGGCATATGTTCACGTCTATGCCTACAACATTGGTAGACAATGTCCTATGACCCACCAGAGCCCATCACAGAATCTTGAGCACATCAGGAACCCAAAAAAATGTTCATTGAATGAGTGAATAAACATTACTGATGACTTAGGAACTTCAGAATGCCCCCTCCATTAGCTGCTGAGGTCCACAGCTAATGTCCCACAGTCTGGGCTTGAAGCAATCTTAATCATGACTGTGACCCAACCTGGACACTTTTCTTTTCCTCCACCACTGCAGCCAATGTTTCTACCACTATACTGGTCACACTCAACTTCACCATCACCAACATGTACTACACAGAGGAAATGGGAAACCCGGGTTCCTTGAAGTTTAACTTCACTGAGAGGATCCTTCAGCGCCAGGTAAGAGCCTTTTCATGGCCACTGCCATATCATCTCACACCTGCCCTCATAACCTCCTCAGCCATCCTCGCTAATCTCCCTCTGTTTTCCCAACAGCTCGGGTTTTTGCTTAATGAGACCAGTGTTGGACCACTCTACACTGGCTGCCAACTGGTTGCACTCAGGTGAGACTCTCAGATGGAGAGGACTTTCATGCACCGTATAGGAAGGCTCAGGCATTGCTAAAACCAGCACCCATCATGATGCCTTCGTGCCTTCTTACGGCACAGAAGGATTGAAGGTTGGAGTATTCACTGGCTTAGAGATGAGAACTGTGTTCAGTGTACAAAACCCAGGTGCTGTTCTGCTTTAAATGAGGGTTGTCCCTTGTAGAAGAAATAGAACCACCATGCTTCCTGTCTGGAGATTCTAATTTCAATGTCTTGTGTTCCCAGTAGGAGTAGACTATCCCACACCAGTCACGCATAGGAGACTTCACAGCTAGGCACCTCAGCATCTCCCTGAGCCTTCTCCCTTCTATTCTTTAGCTTTTCACACCAAGAATGATCAAGTCCCCCTTTCTGTGTCCCCATGTCCTCCCCCCACCAGGCGTGAGAACAGTGGGACAGCCATAGGAGTGAATATCATCTGTACCTTCCACTCTGACTCTCTGGGGCCTGGGCTGGACAGAGAGAAGCTGTACAGGGAGCTGAGTCGTGAAACCCATGGTGTCACCCAGCTGGGTCACTACACCCTGGACCACAGCAGTCTCTACGTCAATGGTGAGGGAGCACATTACACCACAGTCTCCCTCACTTGGAGTCTTGGGGCTTCCCAAAGCTTTGAACAAAACCTCCATCTCTCTAGAGTGCTTTGGACCCATCTTTCCCTTCTTCTGGGTCTGAGTTCTGTCTTCTTTGTGATGAAGCAGAGCCAACATGGGAACAATGACCATGTTCACCCATCTTCAAACTTCTTACCAGTCAGCTCCTTCCTGAACATCCCTTCACTGCCTCTTTCCCTTTGTTTTTACAAAAAAAGTCTACAAATCCTCCTTTACTCTTAATCCTGTATGTCTACCCAAACCTCTCAACTTTACTTTACTTTTTTATACAGGTTATACGTTTGGGGGCACAGCCACAACTCCCACCAGTAAGTATTCCTGGCCTTGATTTACTGGGTCTTGTCCTCACTTGCAGTTTGGGAAACAGCTGTTCTTCTTCTCCTCCCCTCAGTGAGGGAAACAAGTGGAAGGGAAATGTCTTCAACTCTTCCCCTGGATCTTGATAGAGAGCTCCAGGCTGTGGTGAAGAGGGCTGACACACAGATCGATTCTCCACCACATTCTGACCAGAATTTCAGAGCGATTTTCATTTTAATTATCCCACAATCCTACCTTGTTGATGCTAAAAGGCAAACTGAGGCACAATAACATTTAAAGAGTTTATTTGAGCAAGTAGATTCATGAAGCAGGAAGTATTAAGCAGAAGATGCCTTTGGGCTGCCCCAAAGAGGAAAGAAACAGGCCTTTATTGGATAAACCAGAGGCAAAGCCAAGAAAACACTTGATTAGTTACAATGATGTGGTTCTTATTTGATCTATCCCAAGTCCCTAGTAGTATAAATAAGTTGGCTACTTCTGGTTGGCGAAGCTTAAGTTTCACTTTTTCCTTTCCACAAATATTTGTCAAAAAATCACTCAAATTCCACTCATTTTTACAAATCAAATAATGTCAGGTTTGCTTTCATAGACTAACTGGCTTTTGGGTTTTCAGGGAGCTCTTAATCCCAGTCTCCATTTTATTTTATTTTAACATTCCTATTGCCTATCTTTTTAATTCGCTTCTATTTTTTTGTTCCAAGAAACTCTCAATATCAGTGTTACAATTGGTAGGTTTTCAGCAACCATTTATTGAAATCTTCCAGGCACTGCCCTAAATTACATGTCCTGTTAGTATTCCAGGGCTGCTGTAACAAAATAACACAGCCCAGGTGGCTTAAATAACAGGTATTTATTTTGTCTTAGTTCTGGAGGCCAAAGTCCAACATCGAGGTATTGGTAGGTTTGGTTTCTTCCAAGGCCTCTCTCCTTGACACAAAGACAGCTGTGTTCTCCTTGGCATCCCATGGCCATTCCTCTGTGCATGTCTTACCCAGATCTCTTTTTATAAAGACCCTCACCATATTGGATTAGGACCCAATCTAATGACTCTTTTAATTTAAATACCTCTTTAATGTTCCTCTCTCCAAATAGTCTCTTCTGATATTCTCAGGAACTGGAGTGAAGGACTTCAACCTATAATTGAAGAATGGTGGAAGCATGGGAGGGAGGGAGGAAGGGAAGGAGGATACATGCATGAAAAGAAAGATGGAAGTAAAAGTAAGGGTAAAAGGAGAGAAGAATTATCTGAAGGAAAGGAGGGAGAGGTAAATTTTTCTTCCAGAGATATTAGACATTAGTTCATATTTATATTAAATATATACACATAGGGAGTCACCAGAGAACATTTACTTACTTATTTTGTGTAACAAATACCTAGCATAATGTCTTCTCTGTGCCCAGCCTTGCTTAAATGCTGTACAAAGATTAATTTGTTCAAGACTTGGAATAAAATGTGAGGTGACTCAGTATCAGAAACCATTATCATCATTCCATTTTATAGATGTCCAAATCAAAGTGCAGGGAGGTTCGTGATTGGTAAGTAGAGAGAGGGAGAGGGAGAGAAAGAAAGAGAAACAGCATGGCAACGTTGTGCAGAACCAGGAAAGAAATGGTGAAGAAAGGTTTAGTGCTGGCAGCAAGTAACAACAGCATCAGGGATAGCCCCCAGAGCAGTGCCTCTCCAAAGAAAGGAAGCAAAGGGGCATATGCGTGTTTGTGCTGGAGTGACCTGTCACTTGTAGAGGCAGGCATGTTGCTGGGCGTGTGCAGTCTCTTCATACATTGCACATTTAAAAATGGCAGGTGCAAATACTTCTGGGGTGGAGATCTTGGCAATGGAAGATTATAGTGGCAGAGTTTACTCTTGGAAACCTAGAAGATCTGGGTGCGATTTGGCTAGTACCAGCCTTTTCCTTGTGGGTCTTTCTGGAGGGCTTTATCTGAGACAAAACTGTGAAGGGATTTTAGCAGCCAGGGCTTATTCCCAGCAATCACAGGTACTCAACCCCAAGTTCCTACTTAGCAATTTCTACTACAGGCAGATCCTTCCTCGTTGCAAAGAACAAAATAACCGGTGTTGCTGGGCACCGTGGTGCATGCCTGAGGCAGGAAGATTACAAATTCAAGGCAAACCCGAGTGACTTCATAGGACCCTGACTCAAAATTTAAGACAAAATATTCAAAATGCTGGGGATGTGGCTCAGTCCAAAGGCCCTGAGTTCACTTCCCAGCACTGCTAAAGGAAGCAAGCCAGCAAACAAAGCAGCACTGCTATTTCACAGAGAGAGATCCATCCTGCAGGTGGGTGGGTGAAGCATCTGAATCCCTAAATCAAAGGAGCCTTTCATTCAGTGCTGAAGCTGTCTCCATGAACAAGTCACCCTGGGTTTACCAGGAGACACATGAGGGGTCCTAGGAAACCCAACTCGAACACACACTGCTCCCCCTCTACCCCACTCCATGCCAACCCCCATTTACCTGCCATCGTCCTGTGAGCTTTCCCTCCCTGCCACTCTGCAGCCGAGGTCCATGAGGAGCTGTTCACCGTGAACTTCACCATCAACAACCTTCGCTACGCAGTGGACATGGGTCACCCTGGCTCCCTCAAGTTCAACATCACAGACACAGTCATGGAGCACCTGGTGAGCAGCCTGAGACGCCCTCTGACCCCTCCATCCAAATTCCAGGGCTGTTTCCTGTCTCTGACCAGCCCTGGCTCCTCCCTTCCTTTCCAGCTCAGCCCTTTGCTCCGGAGGAGTAGTCTGGGTGCTCGGTACACGGGATGCAGGCTCACCACACTGAGGTGAGAAACATCTCCCAGCCCTGTCTTCCCTCCTCTCCACCCTCTGCCCAATGCAGAAGGACTCGGAGGCCGGACCGTGGAGCTGGGATGAACTGTTTGTCTTCTCTTCTTCGTCTTTGAAATTCTTCATTTTATTTTTTTTCATTTTAGTATGCTTGTGATACATAACAAACACATTCAGTGTGGGGAAGTGGTACATGTACATAAAGTATCTTGGTCCTTTGCCTTCCCATTCCCTTTCCCTTTCGCTCTTCGGTCTGCCCCGTCCTACGGTCCCCTTCCCATCTCCACAAAGTCCCTGCTCCTCATTTCTTATCATCTGACTTTTATTTTGCTCTTTGAATTATATATATATATATATATATAAATATATAAATTATAAATTATATATGTAGGGTTTAACATAAAAGAAACCATGTGATATTTAACCTTCTGTATCTGATTTATTTCATTTAGCATTATAGACTCAAGGTGTATCCATTTCCTACAAATGATTCGATGTTGTACTTCTTTATGGCTGAAATATATATATGTATATATTATATTTTCTTTTTCTGTTGTTAAATTCTTTTATTGGTACATTGTAGGTATACAACACATTTGCATTTCTCATTGGGAATTGTACCTTTACATGATGCATCTTGGTTCTTATTTTTTCCCCATTCCTAGCCCTCCCTTCACACCCTCCACCCTTCCCTATTTACAAAGACTTTATTTCCATTTTTTCCATTTCTCAGCATTTTTCCTTTCCCTTCTTTCCTTTCCCCTGCCCCTCCCACTACCCCTACCCCTTTGGACCTTTTCTTCCTATTTTGCATTATCGATTATTCATTCTAATCATTGGTACATTTTACGTATACAATATAATGACATTCATCATTAGAAATTTGCACCTTTACATAGTCTCTCTTGGTTCTTATTCTTCACCCTTGCCCAGTCCTCCCTTCAACCCCTCCATTCCTCCCTATTTACAAAGATTTTGTTCCTATTTTTCCATTTTCTCATATTAATCCCATTCCCTTCTGCCCTTTCCCCTAGCCCTCCCACTTCCTTCCCCTTTGCCCCTTTTCTTCCTATTTCACATTCGCTATTACACGTTTTAGTCCTTATTTACATTTTCAGTTTCTCACACCAGAGAAACTATTCGGTATTTATACATGTGTGTCCTATTTATTTCACTTAAGAGTATCGCCTCAATGTGCATCCATTTAGCTATAAATGTCTCTAATTTCTCATTTTTTATGGCTGAGTAGTACTCCATTTTATAAAAAAAGCTACATTTTCTTTATCCAGTCTCCAGTTGATGGGCATTAGGGCTGTTTCCAAGTTTTAGCTGTTACAAACATGTTTTCTTTATCCATTCATCTGTAAATAGGCTTATACACCACTCTCAAGATTTAGCTATTATGATTTGTACAGCTATAAACAAGATATCCACGTGTCCTTGTAACATGTTGCCCTTCACTCCTTGGGGAAGATACCTACAAGAAATACAGATGGGTTGAATGGAATTTCTATTTTTAGTTTTTAAGGAATCTCCATCCTGGTTCCCACAAATTTACATTCCCACCACCAGTGTACAAGACTTTCTTTTTTTCTCAACCTCACTAACATTTCCTGGTTTTTGAATTTTTGTTGATAGCCATTCTTTGTGGAATGAGATGGAATCTCAGTGTTATTTTGATTCGCATTTCTCTAATGGTCAAAGATGCTATATTTTCATGTGTCTATTGGCCATTTGCATTTCTTCCTTGGACAAGTGTCTATTCATTTCACTTGTCCAGCCTTTGATTCCTTCTGTCCACTTTCACCACTCCTGTTAAATATAGTACTTACATTATTTATTTTGTAACAATTTAATATTTTGTGGTGCTAACTGTGGAACTCAGAGCATTGCACATGCAAGGCAAGTGTTCTACCACTGAGCTATACCCCAGCTCCCCCATTTAACTTTTGAAATATAAAAACATCGTATAATTTAAGGTATACAACTTGATGTTCCGATAGATGTAGTGAAATGATGTCACATTCTAGCTAAATAAAACATCTCACCCCTGTGTAGTTAACATTTCTCTACCCTGTGAGTAGCATCATCCTATTCCTTCTCCCAGGCCCTGGCAAACATCATTCTACTTTCTACTTCTACAAAGGTTACACATTTGACATTTTTGATACAACATATAAATGAGAACATGTATATTTGTAATATTTTATTAGGAAAATTTTCAAATACATAAAAACGTACCTCTAGTCCACCTTCACTAGCTCATGGTCAATATTAGCTCACTTATCTTTTCTTCCACCCCTCGTTGTACTGAAACATATTCTTTGTACATATCACAAATGTTTTAATGTCTATCTCTAAGGGATAAAGATTCTTTTTTCTACTAATAATTTCAATGATTTTATCATGCCTAAAGACTAATTCCTTCACAGTTTTGTAGTGCCAGGGAGTGAGTGCTTGCATTTTCTGTTCTCATAGATCAGTTTGTGTTCTGTTGGTGTTTATTACTGTTTTCATATTTTCATTCAATGAATACAGGCAATGGATACCACAGTGACAGGGCATACTTTCTCTGCCCTCATCCAGTGGAGAACAGGTACTAAGAAGGAAAATAAATATTTAAGTAATATTGTTTCAAATGGGGAAAGGCCGTTTGCAACACTAGAGAAAGCAGCTTTATCCAAAGATACTTTTGAGCTATGTCTCAATAGTTTGCTCACCAGGAAAACTATTCCAGGCAGAGAGAACAGCATGGGCAAAGGTCCTAAGGTGAGAATAAATTTGTTTTTAGTGAACAGCAAAGAGGGTGGTGTGACTGGAGCAGAGAATGCAAGAGGGAATGAGAGATTTGAGATATCTACAAACAAAGTCTGTTCCATCTTGGAGGTTTCTCTTGTCTTGTAATTGTGATAAAATACACATAATTTACCACCTGTATTATTCATCTTCTCATTACCATGATGAAATACCTGAGGCAATTAATTTACAAAGGAAAAAAATTTATTTCAGCTTGTGGTTCTGGAGGGTCCAGTCCAAAATGTCAGCCGCATTGATTTGGGCACATCATGGTAGGAGTGTGTAGTGGAGCAGATCATTTACATCAATGTCAGAAAACAAAATAAGATGACTGGTGTGATCTCAACATCCCCTCTTGTGACTTAAGGACTTCCCGTGAGGCCCTCCTCCTAAAGGTCCTTCGCTTCACCCAATTGTGCCACCTTGGAGACCAAGCCTTTCACACATGAACAATGGACAGACTCTAATCCAAGTCTTAGTACCATCTTAACTACTTTTAGGTATACAGATCAATAGTGTTAAGTATCTTTACACGGTTGTGCAATTATTACCACTATCAACCCCCAGAACTTTTATCTTCTGAAACTCTAAATCCCAAACTCAGTTCTCGCTCAATACTAATGCCCTATTCCTCCTCCCCAGCCCCCGCTACCCACCATTCTGTTTCCTGTAGCTAGTAACTTGGTTCTAGGAACCTCCTGTGTGTAGAAAAATACTGTATTTGTCTTTTTGTAACTGGCTAATTTCACTTAACATGTGGAGATTCCTCAAAAAACTAAAATTAGAAATTCTATTTGACCCAACTATTCCCTAAGTGTCTTCCTGAAAGAGTTAAAGACATCATATTACAGTGATATATGAATACCCATGTTTATAGCACCACAATTCATAAAAACAAAATCTTGGAAGTGACCTATATGTCCATCAACAGATGAATGAGTAAAGAAAATGTGGTATTTACACACAATGGAGTGCTACTCTGCCACAAAGAAAAATAAAGTTGAGTCACTTGTAGGAAAAGGGATGCACCTTGAAACCATAATGTTAAGTGAAATAAATCAGACACACAAGCTTAAATATCACATTATTTCTCTTATGTGTTATACCTAAAGTTTAAACAAAGAGCAAAATAAATGATAGCTAACCAGAAGTAGGGAGATAGATTGTTCACAAATGGGATTGGGATCAAGAGATAGGAGGTGGAAGGCAGGGAGAAGGGAAGGGGATGAAAAAAGAAACTCCACAGAAGGCATGTAAACGTTATGTGCTGCAAACGTGTACTAATAAAATTTTAATATACCCAAAAATCATTATCTCCTCAAGGTTTATCCATTTTGTAGCACATCATAATTTTCTCCCTTTTCAGACTGAATAATAGTTCATTTGTATGATAATAATACCACATTTTCTTATTCACTTATTGGGTCTTTGATTTTTGCATGGAGTAGGCAAATGTGCCAGGTGGCAGGGGTTTGATATAACAACAGTGAACTAGACTGGTCCACTTCCTGCCTTCGTGTTCTGGATGGAACAAAAACAAATCATTTATGATTTCATAGAAAGTGACCAGTGTTGTGATAGGAGGAGGATGGGAAACAGTGGGGTTCAGAGGAGTCCCCTGACCCAGCATGGCAAGGTTCTTTGAGAAAGTGAAAAAGGAGGAGAAAGAGGATGTGAAGGAAGACGAAGTGGAGGAGGGGGAAGAAGAGAATGAGGAAAAAAAGGAGGAGGCGGAAGAGGAGGATGAGGAAGAGGAAGAAGGGGAGGAGGGAGAGAAAGAAAAAAGGAGGAAGAGGAGGAGGAGGAGGAGGAAGGGGGATGTCAGCCAAGCTGAGATCTAAAGTGCCTGGGAAGCAGCCCCAAAGGGAGGAAGGAGAGAAACTTCCAGACAGAAGACCTGAGATAAACAGTTTGATGAGGGCCGGGGATTTAGCTCCGTGGTTTCGCCACCTACTGCGCAAGCGCAAGGACCCAAGTTCGATCCCCGGTACCAAAAAAAAAAAAAAAAGTATGATTAGATGGGGATGCAGCACATGGTTCAACAAGACCAGAAGGCAGGCTATAAGGCACAGAGATGCCAGGTGGCCTCCATTCCCCAGGAGTACCGCTCTCCCTCTCCAGGTCTGTGAATAATGGTGCCCAGACACAGGTGGACATCCTCTGCACCTACCAACGGTCCCGCAGCAGCCCAGGCCTGTCTGTCAAGCAGGTGTTCCATGAGCTGAGCAGGCAGACCCAGGGCATCACCCGACTGGGTCCCTACTCTCTAGACAAAGACAGCCTCTACCTCAACAGTGAGTAACCCTCAGCCCTAGTTCCCCAGACCAGTGTGCCCAGTTACCAGTTCTTTAGGGGTAGATTTGAAATTCACATCCTGCCTCCACCTACCCAGCTCTCTCAGCCATCACTCAAGGCTAGTCCTTGGTGAATCCCATTTTACAGATGAAGAAACTGAGGCTGAGATAAGGTAAGCAGTTTTCCCAGGTGGGTGCAGCATGAGCCTCCATTTCACCCTCCATTATCAGACTCTATTCTATGCCTTTAACTCACAGAAGACTTCCTAGAGAGCCCTCAGGGGGAAAAGACAGCTGTACCCACATTCTGACTTCTTCTCACTCCTTATGATGGATACTCTTGGGTGGGTTCCCTGTGCTGGGAAGGAATGAAACTCTAGGTGTCTGAGCTTCAGAATCACTGGGCACTAGCATCCATGTTGGATCAGGGAAAGCCAGCAGTTCCCAAATTGCTACCCTTCCCTTCTGTTGTCCCCAACCTGCAGTGGAACTCATATTCTCATCACAGCTGCCCCACGAAGTAGGCAGGGAGACATTCTGGGCCTTCATTACTCCTACTTTTTAGAAAAGAGGGAAACTGAGTCACAAGGTGGAAAGGGTACTTCCCCACATTCACAATAACTTTGTGGCCAATCTGGATCTCGATGTTGACTTTTTTTTTAATCTGGTTCCTTTGACTTGGCCAGCAGAAGGGGTGGTGTAGGATCTTCCACATCATAAACTGCACACATTATGTGATTCATTCTGTTTTAAGATCAGCTTTTATCAAGCATGTACTGTAATCCAGGCCTTGTACCTGGCATCAATGACAGGGGTAACTTACATATGTGTCCTGTCCTAATATAAATGCCAGTGGGGCAAAGACTGATTTGTTCAACACTACCCCAAATATAAATGAAGCCCTGCAAATAAATAAACAAACAAACAAATAAATAAATAAATCTAAATGAAGCCCTGAACCTAACAAATGTTTATTAAACATGCATTGGATAGAGAGATAGATTGGAGGGAGTGTGGAAAGACAGATGAATATATATGTAAAGGGAGAGAGGCGTAGGCCTCTCTCATAAATATTATGATAGCTTCTTGTTGGGGGCATCTTGTAGATGTGGGTAAGGAAGAGACAGACCTAATATCAGGACATTAGTTTTCATGGTGACATTGAAGACAGATCCTAGAAAGTGAGTTGACACTCACTAAGTACACACAGGGAAAGTAATCCAGGCAGAATCACGCACGTGAGTGAAGCATGGTGTATGGGACTGTTCTTCCCCCTTACTTTATGTGTGACTTTTGTTTTTCAGGTTATAATGAACCTGGTCCAAAGGAGCCTCCCACAAGTACGTGTCCACATCCAGTGCCCTTTGCAGCCTCTGTAGGTCTTGGGCCAATTCTTCTCTTCATTCATAGAGTTTGCCCCAAACTCAGACCATCTCCAGAGTCAAGCTAAGGTTTCAGTGAGAGGAAGAATGCTGAGTCCTTGGGCTGCTTTTGAATCTTCAGCCATGGTGTTGAATTTCTAAATTTTTCCATGCTCCTCTGGGATAGAAGTTTGAAAATAAATTTCCTATGAGGTTAAGGTTTGGAGTCAGATGATATCAAGTAACTTATGCCTCCTTTCAGCAAAAGCTACCAGAGTCCCACCAGGGGCTTCATTGTCAACCTGAAAACTAGTGACTACTCAAGTGGTTTTGACTAAAATTGCCCATTTTCTCATCTGCTGAGCCACTCAACTATTTTTGCAAGCCATCAGTTCGTCCGTATCTCCAGTGTTGGCTTTCCCCAAATATTATCTTTCCACCTATCCATTCATCTATATGCCCACCCATCCATCTACTCATCCATCCATCCACTCATCCATCCATCCACCCAGCCTTATACCCTCTTACCTATTTATCCTTTCTACCTTCCATCTGTCCATCCAGCCAACCACCCATTCGGTTGCCCACCCACCATCATGCCCATTCACCTCCTCGTCCTTCCTTACTTCTCTTCTTCCATCTCTTCAACTTTTCTTCCTTGTTTTTATTAATTCTGCCTTTTCTTTTGACCCTTCATTTATCCATTCTTCCTTCTGTCTATTCCTTTAACCTTTCAATTTCCTGCCAATTCATTCATCTGTCCTCTTTATTCTGCCTCACTTGTTCATCCACTTTCATTCTCTTGAGTTAATTTCATTCAAATGCTTGATTGTGCCTCTACTCACACATCACCCTTCCACTCAGTCTTGTTTATGTACCACTTATGAATGGTTGTTCTGGCTGGGACCACTGATGAGGACCTAAGTGAGATTAAAGGGGCTTCTCTTGCTTTGCGGGGTCTCTGTCCTTCCCTGATGACAATGCTTTCCACAGCTCCTGAGCCAAACACCACATTCATGCCATTGTCAACATCTGTGCAGCCAGAAACCACAACAGGTACCAAGGGACCCCTTTTCCTCCCATAAAATAATATTCCTCTGGAGAAGATGTCTTAGTTACTTTTTCTCATTGTTAAGCCAATGAGAAAGTTAAAGGAAGAAAGGTTTGTTGTAGCTCAGAGTTTATAGAGGTTTTAGTACATAACTGACTGGCTCCAAGGCAGTGTGGCATGACAGAGGGTCATCGCAGAAGAGAAACAGTTCATGGCAGGCAGAAGGCAGGAAAAGCAGCAAGTGATAGCAGTAGCCCTCTTTCTGTCCCTTATATTCTATCCAGGCTACATGCCCTTAGGGAGGGTAGCACTCACACCCAGGGAGAGCCTTCGCATTATCCACACCCGGAACTATGCCAAACCAATCAGTGGACTAATTTAGTAACCATACACCCTTAATCCCAGCATCACACACTCTAGATCCAGTCACCTCCAAAAATCCCCACCTATGACCCTATGAGAATTGGGGGGGACATCTAGACACAAGTCATACCAGAGGTGAAAGAGAGGGAGAAGAGGAGGGAGAGGAAAAAGAAATGGAAGAGGGGGATAAAGAGGAAGAGGAAATAGGGGAGGGGGAAGAGGAGGATCAGGAAGAAGAAAAATGAGAGGATCTGTCACATAAGAGCTAGGAAACCAGGATGCAAAGATCATAGTGTCAGCATGATTGTTACAATCACAGATTGGTCTAGCAATTTGGTCATATGCCTGCCCTCATAGAAAGGTCATCTTATAAGACAAACAGACCATTATAATGAAATGTGAGATTATGGGTACTCTGGCACAATCTGAGGAGGGGAGGATTTTCTGGAGAAAATTCCCCCTGAACTGAGTCTTTCAGTATGAGTAGAAGTGATTCCAACAGATGGGACATGAAAAGGGTTCCCCACAGAAGGGGTTGCATGAGCAAAGCTTCAACAGCATAGTGTGTGGGGAGGTTTGATAGAACTTTCGTTTGCCTGGAGCATAAGTCTCAGCTCAGAGTGCGTGGATACATGAGACTGAAAGGCCAATGGATCCATATTGGGAAGGACATGCAATGCTAAGAAGCTTGAACTTAACGCTGAAGGCCATGGGGAATGGTGGGTGGTACTACAGCAGAGTCACCCCTAGTGAAATTTCCATTTCAGAAAGATTCTGGAGTGTTCCATGTAGAGAATTCCTCTAAATAGAGCATCCAGGGACTGCTGTGGTGTTAGTCTGGGTCAGAGGTGATAAGATCTGAGCTGGGATGAGGAAGGAGTGAGGATATACATAAAGAACATTTAGCCAGTAGAATGCTATTCCATGGAGGTGAAGAAACAGGCAGGTTCTAATGTGAATGGTCACATTGGTGAGGAATGGTGCTGCTGGGGGAGAAGATAACAGATGATGAGCGCAGGATTCCATCTGCTGTCAGGTCAGCTCTCAGTCTCAGGCGTCTTCTCCCTTCCTGCAGCCATGGGCCACCACCTGAAGACCCTCACCCTCAACTTCACCATCTCCAACCTCAAGTATTCACCAGATATGAGCAATGGATCAGCCAAGTTCAACTCCACTGACAGGGTCCTGCAGTACCTGGTGAGACCTTGGTCCTGCAACTGCTGGGGGGATAAATCCCACCCAGCTCCTCCATAAACTCCTGTCTTCCTGACCTTCCTTTTCCTTCCTCCCAGCTTGAATCCTTATTCCAGAAGACCGTCCTGGGCCCTTTCTACTCAGGTTGTAGGCTAACCTCCCTCAGGTGAGCTCGCAACCTGGCCACTCACTGGCAATGACCGTCCCTTTGTGTGATCACTGCTTTTGCCATTTTTGCACTGCCCTTTTTCTGGCTGCTTCTTCCTTCTGGTTCCTATCCCCAATCAGAGCTCTCAGAACTTTGCTAGAGCCCCCATGTCCTTTTCTCCCAGGCCTGAGAAGGACAGAGAAGCCACTGGTGTGGATGTAATCTGCACCTATGGCCCTGACCCCATGGGTTCCGGGCTGGACAGCAAGCAGCTGTACTGGGAGCTGAGCCAGCTGACCCATGGCATCACTCAGCTGGGCAAGTACTCCCTAGACCAGGACAGCCTCTACATCAATGGTGAGCAGCAGCTCTCTGTGCTGGACTCATTGTAGAGCCCGCATTCTACCCTTCCAGGGCTCCTTGATTTCTTCTCCACCTCCCAATATCTCTTTCCTTCCCTTGCTCTATCTCTCTCTGCAGGTTACACACACCGGACTGCAGTAACAACCTCCAGTGGTGAGTATTCATTGACATCCCCTGCTCCCCAAGGACTGCCCCTACATGCAGGTAAGGAAGCATCAAGATGCCCACATCTCTAGCCATGGGGAAAAGAAGGAGTTAAAGACACAGGCTGAGAAGTTGTTGACATACAATCAGCTATGAATCATCTCCATGTTGTTGGCTGGACACAGAGAAATAGCCATTAAATATTGGTTGAGTGACTAGGTGTGGAGGCATGCAAGAGTATCACTTGAGCCCAGGAGTTTGAGACCACCGTGGGCAACATAGCAAGACCCCCCCCAAAAAAATATTGCTTGGGTGGATGCACAGAAGAAAATAAGTGAACAATTGAGTAGAAACACTGTACAAGAATTTTAGGCCTCTGTGCCTTTGTGTTTGCCCTAACTCTGTGTGGACAGGGGTGGCTTCTTTGTTAATGATGAGTGGTTGTGCTGAACATGGATTTAGAGTGACCATTACGTGCCCTTATTCTGTTTCCTGTCCTCTGTAAAACAGTCTGCCCAGGGCCTGAATGGGAGGCTCCCTTTCCCAAAATGCTGTGGGGACTGTCTTTCCCATTGTATCAGACAAATAGCATGGACTTCTTTGACCAAATTAATGTGTCATCAATTTTAATTTTTTTAATCAATTTTAATTTTTTAAGTCTTTGTCTCTCATTCACTTTCCTCCAGTGTTATTGAGGCGTAATTGGCAAATGAAATTGTAAATTTTTAAGATAAACAATGCAATAATTTGATATATGTATAACTTTTGGAATGATGACCACAATCAAATTATTCAATGTGTTCATCACCTCATATGACTATCGTCCATGTGATATATATGTATATATATTTTATATATATATATATAATATATATATATATATGGAGAGAGAGAAGTAAGATCCCTTCTCAGAAAATTTCAAGTATAGAATATGATATTATTAACTATAACCACTATGCTTTACAACATGGTGGTTATAGACTTCCACAACTTTTTCATCTGATGGAAACATTTTACCTTTTTAAACATTTTGCTTTATTTTTTAAAATTAATTTTATTTTAGCTATTAATAGGGTACCATGCAATGTTGCATGGTATACATTTTGTAATGCTTGAATCATGCTAAACTTATCTCTTCACAAAGGTATAATTTATGGTAAAACTTCAACATTTTTTCTTCTAGATGTTTTAAATATACAGTACACTGGTTGGTGTCAATAGTTGCCCAACTATGCAATACAGCACGTGAGAACTTCTTGCTCCTAACATAACACCCATTAATCAGCCTCCCCCCGTCATTCCCTCTTCATCTCCTCAGCCTTGGTTTTACCCTCAGTCTGCTCTCCACTTCTATGAGACTGACTCTTTTAGATTCCACATGGGTGAGGTCACATGGTACTTGTCTTTCTGTGCCTGGTTTATTTTCTTAATCTAATAATCTCCAGTTCTGTCCCTGTTACTGTAAATGTCAAGATTTTCTCCTGCATTGGACTTTCAGTTCTATATTGGGTAAAAGTGGTGAAAATGGACATCCTTGTTGTGCTCCATATCTTAAAGGAAATGATCTCAACTTTTCTCTGTTCATATGATGTTAGTGGTGAATTTGTCATAAATGGTTTTCATGGTGTTTAAGCACAGTAAATACAGCACAGGTACTATTAACAGGATGCCATGGGTACTCGCTTATAGAAAGGGTATAATCAAGGTGGGCTTCCTATGTTCCCAGAATAGTACAAAACACCAGAATAAGACATAAACAAGTAAGACACAAGCCCCTTCTTTCCTGGGGCTCCATTTCATTGGGTCCTGAAATTAAAAAGAAAGTAGAAGAGTATTCCAGAAAGCGAGGACTCTATAAGCAAAAGGAGGAAATCTCAGACCACAAGAACCCCTGTAAAATTGTTTTCACCCTCTTGGGGTAACTCTCCACTTGGGAGCCCCCTGCATTCCCCGCATGCAGGTTTCATTTTGGTGGATTCTGACAGTGTGAAGAGGTCTCTTAGGGTGCTAGGACTCTGTGCAGAAAACTAAGAGTCCCCATCTGTCTTTCCCTCCTCTCTGTGGTCGCAGGCTATGTAACCCAGAATGGAACCATCTGGAGTGAGTACCAGCTAAGTTTCCACATCCTCAACTGGAACCTCAGCAACCCAGGCCCCACATCCTCAGAGTACACTGCCTTGCTGAGAGATATTGAGGACAAGGTGAGTCTCCCCCCTCTCCCATTTCTCTTGGGGTCCCCCTCATCCTCATTGTGCCGTCTGACTCACATCTATTAAGTGATTGTTTCAACTCTTCTCTTTACCTATGTGTCCTGGCTTCCCAGAGTTCTCAAGGGTGGCACCCCTGGCTGCCTTCCTCATTTCCTAGATGGTCAAACTGAGGCTCAGAGTGGGTATGCTATGCCTAAGGTCAGGCAGCAAGTTAGGGGAAGAGCCAGGATTTGAACTTCAGTCTCCTTTCTTCCAAGGCCTGTGTTCTTTCTGTAGGTTCCAAAGGCCCCTCCACCCTAAGAGACTTTCACCTCACCCATCCTCCCTACTCTTTTCCAGGTCACCACACTCTTTACAGGCAGCCAGCTACAAGATGCCTTCCAATCCTGCCTGGTTACCAATTTGACGTAAGTTTTGAAGGTTGGAAGCATTGTCTGAACTGGTGACTTATGGCTCTAAACTTCTGTGGCATAGCCTTAGACTGCAAGTCCCCAAAATGTTTCCCATTCCTCGCCACATTCCTGTCAGCTACTCCTACTATCTATTTCTATAAATTTCATGGTAGGAAATGGGGATTCTCCATATGGAACCATCAAGTCCCAGCATCCACCTTTCTCCTCTTCTGGAAATGTGGGAGAACCAAATTTTTGAAGTACAACTCAAAATAGCAGCCCGGTAATAATATTTACCATTGATCAAGCTCCTCAATGAGTACTTCCATGCATGATTGTCTTGTTTCATTCTCACAATAGCTCTATAAGGTGGGTACAATGATCATCTCTTGTTTAGATGGCAAAACTGAGTGTATTAGTCAGCTCTTCATGGCTGAAACAAAATATCTCAAATACACAACTTAAAGGAGAAGTTTATATTTAATTCACAGATTCAGAGGGTTCAGTCAATGGTCAGGATGGAGGATCCAAGGCAGATACATGGTGGAAGGGCATGGTGGAGGAATGATGCTCACCTCACGGCAGCCAGGAAGTAGAGAGAGAGCCAAGAGAGAGAGACCAGGGATAAGAATACCCTTCTAAGTCATGTTCCCATCGATCCACCTTCTCCAAGAAGACCCCATCTCTTACTAAGCATTCAGCTATGAATTCATCAATAGATTAATCCAATGATGAGTTTAGCACTCCCATGATCCAATCACCTCCAAAAAGCCCTACCTCTGAGCACATGATACTTTGGGGAGGTATTTTAGATTTAACCTAATACTGAGTCACAGAGAAATGAATTCCTTGGGACTGTCAGAGTTGAGATTTGAACCCACATCTCTAAGAGCTAGGGGAAGGAGCTAAGACATGAATACAGAAGACGAGGATCATTGAATACAGTCCTGACAATATTTCCAAACTTCAGTTTCTTTGTCTTTAACATGAGGATCGTTATAAGAATACCTCCCTCCTCAGTGATGCCAAGGGAATATGTAAATCACTTCTCAGGAGGTTCTGATACATAGGAAGTGCTTAATACATCTTCATTATTGTTATTATCTTTATTACTTGTAGCTTGAATTTTTGGAAGTCTTCTCATTTTGATCAGTCTCTTCTATAGACTGAGTGCAGAGGCACCTAGACAACTTCCACTTCCTGCCCCTAGGCCACTGGCTCCTTAAAAATGACAACTTGATTATTGGGTTTTTTGAGGGCGTTGGGGGTTTTTTGTTTGTTTTTGTACCAGGGATCGAACTCAGGACCTTGCGCTTTCGAGGCAAGTGGCGGAACCACTGAGCTAAGTCCCCCGCCAAAAGATTGCAACTTGAGGAAAGCAATTTTCTGATTAAGTTGCTGGTGGTATTAACTAAGTGCTGTCTGGATTCTTGTGGTTTCTATTTCTAGGTTAGACTCCAAGTTGGTCACTATCAAGTTATTTTTCTCCACCTATCTGAATGCCAACCTTGTGAAGCAAGTTTTTCTAAATAAGACTTTGAATGCTTCGACCCACTGGCTGGGTGCCACCTACCAGTTGACGGACCTACATGTAATGGGTATGAAGTGAGATGGCTGGTTTTGTAGCTGGAAGAGCTGGGGCTATGAGGAAGGATGGGTCTTTTATAGAAGCAGTTAGATGGATGGAGTTTCAAGAAGGGAAAGAGGGATTTCTAGAATCCTGCATTGATAACCCCTGGCAATGGCACCTCCAGAAGAAGCAAGAAGAGAAAGGAAATGCAGCCCTTGCAACCCAAATGAGTGGTTATTTTTGCATGCAAATTTTTCAAGCCCAAAATGTGGAGGATTGAGAATTGCCTCTTTAGGCAACTGGTTATAAATACCTTGATTAGTTCATTCATTTAACAAATACTTAGTGAAAGTAAACAGGCGCTGATGATGCAGTGTGACATTTGCTACAGTAAGAGAATTTCCAGAGCCTCTAGGAACTCCCAGAGGGGACACACAGCTCTATTTTGGAAAATTCCCTGTAGGAAATGACAATGAAGAAGCTGAGATCTGGTGGATAAAAAGACTTAGCCAGGCAGACAGAAACAAAGAAGAATTGTATTCCATGTGTCCATAACCTAGCAAGAAGAGTAAGAATATGGAATATTTCAGGGGGATTTGTATGAAGTTTGGGGTGGCTGGAGTATGCACTTTGATATTATAAAATCTCTACAGTTGAAGCTAAACATATGGTTAGGGATCTTGTTGGGCTCTGGAATGGTTTGAGCAGGGACATCACATACTTGGAGTTCTGCTTTAGAAATTTCATCCTTTGGGTGCTGTGTGAAGGATGGGTGAGAAGGAGGCGGAAGACCAGAGGGAGGAAGACCCATCCATTAAGTATTTAGGGCATTAATCAGAATCTCTTTAAAAAGTAAGTGACAGATGCCCAGTGGGATAGTCAGCAACTCATTTGATGACCACACTCTAAAGAGAGGCATTCTCCTCTTCTCTACCCACAGTGAATTCATATTGCTTGGTGGGAAAAAAAAATGAGCAAGTAGATGGATGGGATGGATACAAAGTGGATGTGCTGATAAGGGGTCTTCTGTAGCCCACTTTCAAAACCTCAGCTCAGGTTTCATTGCCAGGAATAAGTAGAATGGCTTGAACTTTCTTTAAATTCCTTTGATGTTGGATTTTAATGACTGTTACATAATTTTTCTTTTAATTCTAGAAGTGAAGCCATCCATTCCTCTACCAACAGAAATGCCACCAGACACTTCCAGTTCCCAACAATTTCAGTTGAATTTCACCATCACCAACCTACCCTATTCCCAGGACACAGCCCACCCAGACACTACCCAATATCATCATAACAAAAGAAGCATTGAGAATGCGGTGAGCACGGGGTTGTATCAGCCTGTTCTCAGGCAGAGGCTGACTTGTGACACTGGATAGTTAGAGGATGACTTTTTACAACAGTTCCTGAAGAGTTTTTAGTTTGCATGCATTAGTAATACATAATATTCATGTATCACTGTAGTATGCTGCTGAAGACAGACTCTTGTTCCCATTTTGCCAATTAAGAAACAGGTACAGAGAAGTTCAGTCGAGTCCAGCTATGTCATACCTTGGAATGGAACATCCTTTGATACATACACCTGAGCTAGTGTTTGTAAAAGAAAATAGAAAAGATAGGGGTGTGTAATCAGTGACTGAAAATTCTCTTAGCAATTGGACTTGGAGTGCTGGCCTGAAAACTATTGCCCTGTCTTTCAGCTCAACCAGCTTTTCCGAAACAGCAGCATCAAGAGCTATTTTTCAGACTGTCAAGTTTTAGCATTCAGGTGAGTTCCAACTCATGACCTATTGACTCTAGGAGCTCCTGCTGTACCTGAAATAAAAGTGTCTCTTGCCGTAGTATTTCAAGTCCTGGCTATTATGGAAGACAGCCTTGGGATAGAGATCTATAACCTAAAATCCAGTTTCTTCCTAGACTGGTGAGCCCAGCTGGCTGAGAAACTTAAGAGATCTCATGTATCCTCTGTAGCCCAATGCTGGGAGCCATTGAGTGTAGAATCCTTGTCTTAAGAAATCAGCTACTGGAGTAGATACATGTATACACTAAAAGTAACGATATCAAACTAGTTATCTTTTATTTTACTTCAAATTTGATTTAGGAAAAAACGTGAATTGATTTGTACCTGTCCTCACCAAGAAGGAGGAAAACTTTCAAGAACCATCATAAAAGATATGACGCAAATATACGATGAATGTTTAAATAAATTTTAAAAATCACAGTAAAAGACACATTGCTGTTAATCCCTGTCAAAATATTCTCCCTCATTTTGAACACACTTATCGCATTGTTCATGCCACTTTCACAAGTGTCCTTACAACATTTAATCAAAAACTCAGTGAATGTTGCTGCTGAGTGTTGCCCAATAGAAAGCCAGCCTTGTAGAATTATTATGGTATGTCCTCATCCACCTTATTCATCAGATCTGACACCATGTAACTTCTGGCTCTTCCTCAAAGTTAAAATGACCATGAAGGGTAAATGTTTTGAATCAATTCAGAATATAGAGGCAATTGAAGAATATAGAGGTGATTAAAGAGACACTCATGAAAGAGGACTTCCAGAAGTGCTTCTGGAAGTGAAAAGAACAATGGGATAAATAGACGGGAATATTTCGAAGGAGATTAATGGCAGTGTGTCCTTTACTATAATACATTTTTTAAATTTAAACATTCACTGTATTTTTAGATAGCACCTCATATGTCCAAAAGTTTTGTTCCCTCATCAGATTAAAATAAAGTACCTTCAAAATGGCAGCATTTCACAAGAAAGGCAATGCAGCAGCTCAGGGGTGACCTGAATCCCAAGTGATTTCTTGTCACTAGCTGTTGACTACATTTCCCCTGAAATTAGATCTCCAAGTTTCTAAATTACTGTCTAACTGGATCTTTTTGCCATGCCCTTGTCTCTTTTGCATTATTAAACTATCTGCTCTATTTGCTAAATTTCAGGTTGTATAAAAGTGAAGAAAAATGATCTGGAGTATTTAAAAGTTTAATCAACTAAATGGTCCAAGAACACTGGAAACTATTAGGCTAGGAAAAGAAATATTTATTTAGTGTCAGTTAATGATGCTTTGCATAAGTAGTGATCCTGAATCATCAGTGCACATCAGCCTCACCCAAAGAGCTTTTATAAAATGTTCGTGCCTGGGTTACATTGAATATTCTTATTTAATATATTCTTGGATGAAGCCTAAGCAAGGATACTTTGTAAAAGCTCCCCAAGCAGTTCTGTGTTGAAGCCAGGGCTAAAATATTATTTCAAATAAAAAGATGTAGACAAGATGTATAGACTGGTAGAAAAACATCAACAACTAAAGTCAGGTCCATGGAAAATGGAAGGCTAGAGCCAGATGACTCAGAATCCTGCAATCCACCTCTGCTGTCCAGCAGGGTAACCATTGATCACATGAAGCAATTTAAATTTTTATACAGCTTTTGAGGTATAATTCATATACTATACAATTCATTCTTTGAAGTGTAACACTTAGTGGTATAGAGTAGTACAACCATCCTCATCATCTAATTTTCATCATCTACCAAAGAAATCCAGTACTCATTAGCAGTCAATCACTTCTCTTTGTCCTTGGCAACCCCCAATCTACTTTCTGTCCTGTGGATTTGGCTACTCTGAACATTTTAGATAAGTGGAATCATGTGGTAACGCTATCTGGCTGGCTTTGTTCATTGAACATAATACTTTCAAGGTTCATTCATGTTGCAGCATGTATCAGTACTTCATTCTTTTTTCAGACCAAACAGTGTTTTATTGTATGGGTTTAAGAGCATTTATTTATCTGTTTGCTGATGGACATTTGGGCTGTCTCCTCTATTTGGCTGATATGAACAGAGCTGCTGTGATCATTCCTGAATACAGTTTTTTGAGCCAACTTATGTTTTCAATTAGTTTGGACATATTGTAGTATGTGGTATTGTGGTTTCATATGATAACTTTGCATTGAAATCTTGAGAAGCTACCAAGCTCTTTTCCTCCGAGGCTGCGAAATTTCATATCTCCACCAACAATGTCTCAGAGCTCCTTTCAAATTCCCCACCCACTGACTATTGTCCCCTAGTATAATATTTAATTATATTTAATTAGTACAATATATGTAATTAGTACAGTGTTTAAATAATCATCCAAATACATGGGAAGTGATTTCACTTCCTGCTGGTTTTCACAGCTACTGAGGTTCTGAGATTGCTGGTTTCCATAATTACTGACCATCTTGGTTGAACAGTATGGGAACAATGCAAGTTCAAATGCTACAAAGCATGTTCTCTTTGTCATGGTCCAACTACTATTCCTAACTAAACCCTTCTTAGACCTTTGCAAGACCTTGGTTAATTTCTGGGCTTCTGAAAAACCTTGATTTTGACCATTGTGCCAGTGTTCTCATTGGTTTTTTGGAGATTCCACAAGTCCATTCTCCAATATTCCAGAAATGTTGCTTCTGTGGCTATGATTACATGTATTAAATTTAAATTAAATTGGGTCATTCCATCCCTCACTCATTCTAGTCACACTTTAAGTGCTGAATCCCAACACAGGGCTAATAATTACTGTGTTGCAGACATGCAGTAGATTTCTTGAAGACACAGAGTGTTTACATCATTGCACAGAGTTCTCCTGGACAGAGCCTGGCCACAGGGAGTCTGGAATCAGCATGGAGTTTCAGATGTGTTTGCTCTTCCTTTGTGTCCATGTAGATCTGTCTCTCACATCAACCACACTGGGGTTGACTCCATATGCAACTTCTCACCCTTGGCTCGGAGTCTGGACAGAGTTGCCATCTATGAGGAATTCCTGCGATTGACCCAGAATGGTACCCAGTTGCAGAACTTCACTCTAGACAAGAACAGTGTCTTTGTGGATGGTAAGACATTCTGGGCTGTGGGGCTGGAGCAGGGGCTCCACATTCCTTACTTAGACTCCCCAGGGAATCTCGAGCCCTAGGCCTGGGGCATCATTGAACTTCCCCAGATGTATACCAGGTAGCGTGGTTCCTCCAGGCTTTACTCACCATCAAGAGATAAAACAAGTTACCCTGTGTGGCACAGGAGGCTTTCTGCCTCTCCTGGCAAGCTCTGTGAACTCAGACTACTTTTCCTCTCTGGACTTTTTCCTTGTGTCTCACTGCAAGCCACTTATTTGGTGAGATACTCATTGAAAGCCTCCAGCTTGAAGTTATGTATGATCTAATCTCAATAAACATGACAGGATGGACATGTTTCCTGACAGCCCAGGTCCCTCCAAGGTAGCTGAACCTTGCACATCCAAATGTACTAATTCGAATATCGTATTGTGCACCAAGAATATCCCTGGACAGAGTGGCTTTGTGTGCTTGGTCACTCTGAAATTCTAAGAACTTTAGATTCTTTCTGGCACACAATAAATATTCAACATATTTATAGAAGGAATACTGAACTTCATATGACATCTCTTTTAGGTCCAGTGTGAATAGCAGAGGGGACCACTCCACTATCTTGTGTGTGCTGTCCTTGGTTCTGAATTGTACAAGACAGCACTGCTGATTTTTTATGTCAGAAATCAGCAGACCTTTTCTGTAAAGGTCTAGATAATAAATAAGTATGTTGGGCTTTGTGGGATCTAGATGACCTCCACTGTGTTATAAATTCTTTTGAAGTACAGAAACAACTTCCAGATCAAATCCTGTCAGCCATGGGCCTGAAGCTTGCCAACCCTACTCTAAATCAGTACTACCCAATAGAACTTTCCAGTGATGTTCAAAATCAGCACTACCCAATAGGACCTTCTGCAGTGATGGGAGTTTTCTATATTTGTGTGTGTTAGTCTATTTCCTGTTGCTATAACATAATAACTGAGTCTAGGTAATTTATAAAGAAATGAGGTTTATTTTGTCCACAGTGTTGGAGGCCGATGCAGCCTCGTTTGTTTAGTCTCTGATGAGGTGTTAGGCTGGAGGCATCACAATGGCAGGAGTACATGTGAAAGAAATCACAGTGAAACGGGATACCAGATGGATTCAGGAGCCAGACCTGCTCTTCTCATAACAGCCCACTCTCATGCAAACTAGCCAGGGTCCTATAAGAACCACATTAGTCCCTTCTGAGGGCAGCCCACCAAGGATCTAATCTGCTCCCCTAGGTTCTACATATTAAAGTTCCACCACCTCAGCATCTCCACACTGGAGACTAATCCTCCAGCACATGAACCTTTGGTGGACATCTCACGTAAGCCATACCCAAACCACATAGCACTATGCTGTCTAGTACAATAGCCACAGGTACCTAGTACTATGACTTAGGTGCTGGAGTTTTAACTTAATTTAAATTTATAGAACTATTTTCTGTTGGTCCTGCTTGTATTGCACAGCACATCTTTAAGAATTTGGCTGGGGTGGGGTTGCGGAAGTAGGGAGCCCATCTACCTTTACCTCTATGCCTGAGGGTTGCTATACACCCCAACTCTGACAAAGTCTGTGCTGTAATTTCCTAACAAGAATAGACTCTGTAGCCAGGCACAGTGGCACATGCCTGGAATGCTAAATACAGCTAACTCAAGCCCAGTCTGAACAACTTAGTGAGACCCCATCTGAAAATAAAATCTAAAACACTGCAAATATGACTCTATGTTAGAGAACTTGCCTAGCATGTTGAGTCCCCAGCACTGGAAAAAAAAATAGGTAATTGCTGATGATGCATTATATAATGAGAATCTATCTATACTTGAAAGTGGTCATCAGCGAAGGCTTTCTGGAGGAAATTACATAGAAGGTGAACCCTGAAAGGTGAGACTGAAACATTAGGGGAAAGGGGAGGAGTCGAGTGTGTTTCTAGGTAGAAAAAAAAACCTTCTGGAGTAAAAATTTACAAATTTAGAGAGACCTTATGGTTTTACAACTGTGATGATCCATGAATTACACCACTACCATGACACAATTCCATCCCATTTAGGTATTCCATCCCCAGAGATATGGATTTCATTTGCTATATTCTTGTGGTATGGTAATGGTTCCATGATTATGTAACAAAATTTACTTCTTCTTGAAATGCAAACTAAAGTATTCAGGGCAAAATGTTGTGAGGTATACTTGATTTTAAAATTTCAGTGAAAATATCAGATGGTGTAAGTGAGGAAAGTGTCACTTATTCAGAAATCAAATGAAATATTGTTTAAGTGGCATGGAACATGGATGGTTAAATCTAAGTGGTGAATGGTGACTTTACTATTCTCTCATCTTTTCTGTGTATTTGGAACATTTTATTAAATGGGTGAGTGTGTAGGTCAAGAGCTCAGAGCACGTGCCTAGCATGCTCAAGATCCTGGGCTCAATCCTCAATACCACCAAAGAGAAAAAAAAGTCCTATTCACATGCCCTTTCTATTTCATTCATTTTCAGGGTATTCTCCACACAAAAATGACGCTGTGATTAGAAACTCCGGTAAGCCTCAAACAAGTCTGGGCAGGGAGGGGACAACCTGATGCTATGCATACTCAAAGAGCACCATGAACAGAGGGCTTTGGATCACAGTGACAGTCAGCCCCCCCCCCCGTGACAAAGACTGTTGAGACACAGTGGAAAGAAGCAGGAGTCCTGGCCTATAGGAGCCCTATGTTTAGGGGGTGGTACTTCAGAGCCATGAGGTGTTGAGGCTAAGCTCCCCTCTCCAAGTTCAGGCTCATCCTCTGGCCAGACAGGGTCCAAGAAAGAGCCCTGGATGTGGTAAGATGTGGCTCACCCCAGCATTTATTTCCCCAGATCTCCCTTTCTGGGCCATCATCCTCATCTGCTTGGCGGGACTCCTGGCCCTCATCACCTGCCTGCTCTGCTGCTATCTGGTGAGTAGAGAAGGGTTGCTTGTCTTCTTACTCTTGAGTTATAAAAATCGTTAATACAGTTACACCATGCAATGTTTTGGACATAGATGATGTGGTCTGTGGTCATCGATCCCATAAGACTATTGCCTAGTGATATCATGGCCATCTCGGTTTCTGTAAGTCCAATCTGCAATGTTTGTACAATGACAGAATCGCCATAACTATGCATTTCTCAGACTTAGCCCTGTCAATAAATATTGTATGTCTGTACACTATCAATACCAGTCCTTTGCTGAGTATATGTTTTGCAAAAATATTCTCCTGGATTGTGTGTGGCTTGCCTTCTTTTTTTCTTTAATTTTATTTTTAACAAATCATAAATGTATATGTACATGGACTACCAGGTGATGCTTCGATATATGTATACATAATGAAATAAATCAGGTTAATTGTTATATCCATCATACTTTTGTGATATGAACATTTAAAATCCACTCTCAGCAATTTTGAAATAGACATCACATCATTATTGACTACGGTCACCCTGTTGTGCAATAGATCTCAAAACCTTAACATTAGTCATTAGCATAAAATTGTCCATGGAAATGACAAAGATATAGAACAACCAGAATTCTTGTGAAGAGCTTGCAGAACATAGCTCAGCCGTTTCCTGGAGAGTTACATACACTTGCTATGGAACCTAACATCCCATTCCCAGTAATTTATCTAAGAGAAAGAATAGCATATATTCACAAAAAGACTTGTATGCAAATGTTGGTTACAGATTTGTTCACTATAGCCCCAAACTGAAAACATCCCCAGTGTCTGTCAACAGGTATATCCCAACACTGGAATATACTATCCAGCAATGAACAAGGAAAGAATTATTAATACAGGCGATTGCAAAATAATTATGCTGAGTGAAAGAGACCGGGCAAAGAAAAGATTGCAAACTCTGTGATTCCATTTATAGCTGTAGAAAACATTAACTAATCTGTTAATGATAGAAATCCAATCAGCAGTTGCCTGGGAATGGAAATGTGTGTGCAAGTGACAGGGAAAGAATATAAAGAAGAGGAAGTAAACTTTAAGGAATGATGACTGGGGTGTTCCTTATCTTTATAGGAGTGATGGTTCAATAAGTTATAATCAAAGCCTATCAGCTCACTCATTTTAAATGTGTGCAATTTATTGTATAGCAGTTATTCCTTGGTTAAGCTGAAGTAATGTGGAGGAGGGAAGTAATGAGGGAGAAAGATAAGTGATAGACAAGGTAGATAAGATAGAAGATAGTTACTAGATAGAAAGCTATACATGATTAAAATAGATATATAATTCATTAATAGGAGATAGCAGATAGACAGTAGATGATAGTAAGATGATATATGAATAAACAATTAATGCACAGATGATAGTCAATTGATAGTTCATTGATAAATATATAAATGATAGATGATAGGCAACTTTATAGATAGGCGATTGCTGGATGATTAAACTATAGGTAAAGATGGATGACAGGCGATTAATAGAAACATGAATATTAATAAACTGAGAGGGTAAGAAAGAGAGAAATGAAGGGGATATTGGAGGATAGTTTCTAAAAATGAGAGTGAAAAGGGTGAAGAAGGATTAAGGAACAAAACCAAGTGGAAAGGAAGAGGAAGAGGGGCCTGGGAAACTTCAGGCCTGTGACTTGTCTGCGTTCTCACCCCTGTGGTCTCCGCTACCAAGACAGCTGACCAGTCCATCCTGATGCCTTCTCTCTACCCTTACAGGTGATTGTCTGCCGACGGAAGAAGGAGGGAGACTACCAGGTCCAGCACCACCGCCTGGGCTATTACTTCCCACACTTGGACCTGAGGAAGCTGCAATGACCCCGTCTGCCAGGGGGTTCTTTTATCCTACCCTGGGTCCAAAGAAGAAATAAACCACATTGGACAGACACAGCCTATGGGCCTTGCTTGACTTTGTCCCAGCCTGGTTCACAGGGAACAAAGTGAGATCTCTTCCTCCTTCATTATGTCCTGAAGGCAACTGTTAGTTGTCTTGGGGTTTCATACTGTGCCATCTGGCAGGGACACTGGAATCGGTGAGACTTGTATGGAAATTGCCATTGTCCAAAATCAACATCCCGCTGAAATGTGAGATTTCCCTCCTAGTCACCCACCACCTATCTGCCCTGACTTTACTGCCAGCCATCCCATGGAGCTCTTTCTCCATATCCACCCACATCCTGGAGCCCTGGCTCTCTCAAACTTTCTCTTACATTACTTCATTCTCTGAGTTTATCTTTACCAGGACTTTCAGATGAATCCTTTCCTTACCCACCACGTGATTCCTGAAAGATGGGAAATTTCTTTCGAAGAAAGAAATGAGTGGGTCAGAAATGACTCCACAACCAGCCTTGGAACTTGGGAGCTAAAATGACCAAATATCCAGAAAACTTGAGTCCAGGAGTAATGCTAATACTGTGTGAAGATGTCTGTTTTGGAGGTAAGAAGAATAAAACTTGAGGGGGGTTCATCAGAAGGAAAAATAAGATTTTCTTTTTTACATCTTTCCCTGCACTGAATCCAAGTAGACAATCACAGCCAAGCATGCCAGGTGTGAGGCCAGCTGCACTGTCCTGCTTTGTATTTGCTGGAATCGGTGGCATGATCTATATATTTCTCAGACCACAGTGAGTGATGGTACCCAATTCTTACCCAGGGCTAAGAATTAAAATTAGAGTAATGACATCCATCCAAACTCTTTTGATGTGAGCTTTGCACCCTCACTCTTAAGCAGTATGTCTCTGAGAATGCACTCTGACACTGACAGTAATGATGTTAATAGCTCTCACATATTAATGACAGTCACATATGGAATAACAACAAGGGTACATTCAAAGAGCTGCACCATCTAATCCTATGAGACTGTGGTTGTATATGTGGCCTGTGGTTGACAGCATGTCATCATATAGCACTGATGTCTGCTAAGCACTGTGGTTGGCAAGCTCTGCGCGCATTAACTCTGTTCTGCTCTCCATTTGCTGTGATTTGAATGTGTCCCCTCCAAAATTCATGTGTTGGAGACTAAATCCCCCAAACAGTAATGGGAGGTGAGGGGGCCTAATGTGAAGTGTTTAGGTAACGAACCCTCTGTCCTAATGAATGGATTAGTGCTGCTATAAAAAGGGGCCTGTGGGCATGGGCTTTCTCTTGCTTTCTTTTCTTCCCCATGAGGCTCAGCATTTTTCCTCTTTTGCCTCTCCGCCTTCTGCCATGGGGTGTTGAAGCAGGAAGCAAGAAAGCCCTCCATAGAAGCTAGCACCTTGATCTTGGAATTCTCAGCTTCCAAAACTGTGACAGAATAAATTTTTGTTCTTTATAAATTGTGCAACCTGTGGAATTCTGTTACAGCAAAACAAAATGGATTTAGACCATCCTTGAGGGCTTCGCTCCCACTCAATGGCTAAAGGGATGGAAGCTCAGAAATGGAAGACAATCAGCAGAGTCGTGCTCCGTGATGTGCAAACACCACATTTTCTTTATCCATTCTTCTGCTGATGGACACATAGGCTACTTCCAAGATTTAGTTGTTATGAATTGTGCTGCTATAAACGTGGGTGTGCATGGATCACTGTGATATGATGTCTTTAGCTCTTTCAAGAAGATACCTAGAAAGGGAAGAGCTGGTAGAAGGATAAACTTGTCATTTGTAGGAAACTGGATGCACCTTGAGACCATAATGTTAGTGAAATAATTTAGACATACGAGCTTAAATATCACATGGTTTCTCTTATATTTAGAATATAAATGAAGAGCAAAATAAAAAGATCATAGGAAGCAGGGAGACAGATCTTTCTCAGATAGGAAGGGGATCAAGAAATGGAAGGAGAATGGAGAGAGGTGAGGGGAAGGAGAAGAAATAAAGAATGAAGAGGTCTTCTGTCCATGTACCAATTCCCCACAAGGAATGTAAACATTATGTGCTACAAACATGGACTAATAAAAACTAAAAGAAATAGATAATAATTGGACAAGGAAGGGAAAGAATTACCTAGAACCTGAATTATGAACTACGATCCTAAACTATCTATTAATGAGATAAAAGACATTTCCAGACCCAGAGACCAACTCAAGCCAACCTTGAGCAGGGCTCAGTGAAAGAGTGAGTAAAGAATGTATATTAGGAAGAACTGCAAGCCTAGAAAAACATGTTGGAATGAGAAGAATCGAGTTAAAAAGAAAAAAAGTAATGTATCTAAATAAGTATTCATTTTAAAACAAGCCATTAATTTTGTTTAATTTTCTATAGTACTGTGCATGTTTGCAGTCCAGAATGATTACATTTGTTATGGCAAGTTTGTACATGTATATAATACATCTTTTTTTTTTTTTTTGGTACCAGGGATCGAACTTGGGTCCTTGCCCTTGCAGAGCAGGTGGTGAAACCAGAGCTAAATCCCCGGCCACTGTTTGTTTGTTTTTACTTTTTTTGGTACTAGGGATCAAACTCGGGTCTAAATCCCCAGCTGATTCTCTCTTTTTTAAAACTTTATTTTCCCTTTCTTCCCTCCCTCTCCCTCTATCTCTTGTTCCTCTTTCCATTTGAAAAAGATCTCCTACTTACCTTTTATTTTGCTTATTATTTATACTTTGGGTTTCTCATATTAAAGAAGTCATGCAATATTTAAACTTGTGTGTCTGATTTATTTCACCTAACATTATGGTTTCGAGGTGTGTCCGTTGAAATAAATTTTAATAAAATTCCAGATGATTACCAAATACAAACAGAGAGGATAGATAAAGTTTCAAGATGATTCACTTTAGGAAAGATGTAAATAGTATAGGTACTCTATTATTTTTAACATATTGCCCTCAGAACCTGACAAGTCCAGCAAGCAAATGTGAGCAATGATAAAGGGAATTCAAACTTTTTAGCAAACTCAGGGATCAGGCAAATAGGCAAATAGATTTAAATTCTTGAATTACAACAAACAATGCCCTACTATTAAATTAATGCTGAAAAACATCTGTATGCCATTATCTCCCAAATGTCAAGTTAGTTTTCATGAAGCAAATTTCAAACACATATAGATCAAGAAAATTAGAGAAAGTGTGGTGTTTCACTAAAAGCAACTATTAGCTAGTAAGAAATAAGGAAGAGATAAATAACAATAGGTAGATATCTTATTTGAGGACACAGACATAAAAACTCTGAAATGAGGGCTGGGGATTTAGCTCAGTGGTTCTAGCTCCTGCCTCGCAAGCACAAGGTCCCAAGATCGATCCCCGGTACCAAAAAAACAAAAAAATCTGAAATGAAATGTTATTTTAGAATCTCCTGATTATATAAATAATAATCCATTTCAACTATGTAATTTCATTCTGTGAATGTGAGGAAAACTCACTGAACAATTTCATGACTTTGATAATTCCCTACTGACTTTAACTGAAATAAGTCTGACCAAGAAAGAAAAACACTGTATGATATCACATATATGAGGAATCTCTAAAAAGTCAAATACATCGAAATGGAAAGAATGGTAGCTACTGGGGTAAACAGGAGTGAGGAGGTGCAGATTAAAGGGTACAAAGTTGCAGTGATGTAGAATGAATAACTCTAGACATTTAATGTGCAGCGTGAGGTGTTATACTCAATGGCATTACATTGTATAATGCAAATTGGCTGAGAGGGTAGATTTTAGGTGCTCTTATCATACAAAATTGTAACTATGTGAATGCCAGATATGTTAATTTGCTTGACAGCGACATGTATAAGTATATATAATATATATATATTTAATGCCTTATACATGAAATATATGCAATAATATTTTGTGTGTATGTGTAGTGCTGGGAACTGAAGCCAGCATCTTGCACCTGCTAGTCAAGCAATCTGCCACTGAGCACATTCTCAGCCCTACATAATTAAAGGAAAATAAGTAGAAGGGCCAGGGATTTAGCTCAGTGGTTCCGCCGCCTGCCCTGCAAGCACAGAGACCCGAGTTCAATCCCTGGTACCAAAAAATAAATAAATAAATAAATAAATAAATAATAAATAAGTAGAATGCAAATAAATCGCATAAAAGCAAGTGAAAATGGGAGTGTAACACAAAAATGAAAAATCTTACCCTCCTCACCTGAAACCCAACCTCTCCCTTTGAAAAGAAACTACTGTTCATATTCTCTTGGGGTGCACCAAGGAGTTTAATAAAGAAAAGTATTGGTGTATTTTAAAGTTCTGAGAGATCAAAGCAAAAAAAAAATCAAAGCTATGATCACTGCAAAGCGGTGCTAAAATAGGATCTTGTCCTGTTTCTTCTTTAGCATCTTCTTTTTCATGGTGTTTATCAAGACACCTTTTGTGGCCCCTTCACTGTCTCTCCCTCACTAGCTAGTCTGTGTGCAATCAGTGCTATGGCCAGTCTTTCTCTTGCTGTCTCCACTTTTCTTTCCTGTTTCTTAATGTCTTCCTCCGTGACCAGAAATTGTTCGCAGAGGAGCTGGGGCACACCCAGACCCATTCCTGGAATCATCTCCACTGCATGGGAAGACAGGCCAAGGCCAGGCAGAGAGCTGGACCGCACACCACCAGCCAGAGCCTCTGACAGGGATGCACTTGTGCAACTAGGTACAAGTGTGCGCAAAGTTTTGGCAAGGTCTAAAGTACTTAAAAGTTCTCCTATGCTACTGGAGGCCTGGAGTCCTTGCAGTCTCTTATACAAGCAGACCTGCTGGGGTTTGTCTAAGTTTGCCTCCCATTGATGGTATCTGACCTCGTTGTCTGGATGGGATGTAATTCTTGTAACTGGTCTCTGGAATGCGTAACTGGACATTCTCAAGGGAATTGAGATGCTTAAGCCAGACTTTGGTTTTGATTGGTTTACGCAGTCACGTTGTTTCCTTTGTGAAATCTTGGCCATCATACTTCTTTTCCTCTTACCCTATTAAACATAAATGGTGAAATTGGATCAACTGTGTGACAATTATCAGAGGTAATTCTCTCTGCTCTTTCCAACTTCCATCCTGCCTCTCCTCCTCTGGGGCTAAATCTGATTAAGCATCTTGGGACATCAATAACCCAATCTGAGTCAGGTGCAGACAACTCAAAGTCCAAACTTTCCTCTGTCATCTTGCAGAGCACTCTCCTCTTTTCCTTTTATTTTCCCTTTGTCCCTATCAATCTCAACTATGTGAAACTTGGCCCTGTCTCTCATGACATATGGTCTCCAGTCTTCTTCTAATTCCCCAATGCTGCCCTTCTTCTGCTACTTGACTATTCAGTCAGTCGGCCCATTGTCCTTTTGGTTTTCACAGCTCCTTCAGCACAAAAGTCAGAATGAAATTTTCAACTACCCCACTCTGTGAGAGTCACTCCCAACCCCTGACATTTCATCAACCCAAACAGTCATGCTTAAAATTAATAATTTAGAAAACATAGTTGCCAACCACAAGTTTCTGATTTCTGGCTTCTTCATGCAAACACCTATAAAATAGATACCTCTCCTTAAGAACAAGAGTTACTCCCAACTATATATCTCCATCTTCACCTTACACTTTCATCTTTTTTCTAAATTAACATACACTAATTATGCATACAGTACTTATATGGTACATCATAAAATTTAATACATATATACATTTAGCCATGACTGAATCGGGGCAATCAGCAGTACCACCTCCTCCAACATTTATCACTTCTTTGTGTTAGGAATCTTTACATTTCTCTCTTCCAGGTTGTTGTGGGGTTTTTTTGGGGGGTTGCATTGAGACAGGGTTTCTCTCTGTAGCTCAAGCTGGCCTCAAATTCACAGTCCTCCTGCCTCAGTCTCCCAATTGCTGGGATTACTGCCATGCGCCACCAACCACCATGCTCAATTCTTAGTTGTTTATAAAACATTTAATAAATTATTGTAAATTGTAGTCACCCTGCCGTGCTGTAGAAAACTGGAATTCATCCTTACTGATGAAAGAAAACAGGGGTAGACGTTGACAAACTTACTAAATATGTAACAGGAAATCTCAATAAGAAAGGCTGTGTACATTCCCATCTTACTCTTTTTTTTTTTTTTTTTTTGAGACAGGGTCTCACTTTGTGGTTCAGGTTGGCCTCGAACTCGAGGCAATCCTCCTGCCTCTGCCTCCGGAGTGCTGGGATTACAGGCGTGAGCCACCATACCCGGCTCATTCCCATCTTACTCTTCCCAAACATACCACTGACCCTTAAATATTAAAGACAGTTAATACTGAGATCACTGAAACACACATCTAGAAACAGAACAAAAGACAAGAAAGGTTAAGGGAAATTTTAGTGGAAAGAAATGACACCTTCTGCTGGGCTCTGGCTATGGTCTTAACTTAGACTGTGCTTTCTCCATTCTAGGTTGTGAGTTGAAACAACTAGCCTGTTACCACACCAAACTATCGAGCAGATAGCAAACACCAAAATGAGTCAACCAGTTGTTTTTCTCCTTTGTACCAGACTTCAGGTTGTAAACATTATTTTCTTCCTTAAATTGTCTTCTGTTACCACTTATTAGCAATGTAGACTATGTCTATGTTTTGGGCAAAATAGATCAATCAGTTTATATGCCATTCCATCAATACTAGCACTCTTTCCTGGGTGACTGTTGGACAACAGGAAGGGGATTTGGGTAAGGAGGAGGAAGGGAGGGAAAAGGAGAATAACGGAGCCCTGGAAGTGATCAAAATATGTTACATGCATGCATGAAACATGGGCCAGGTGAGGCAGTGCACTCCTGAAATCCCTGCACTCTGGGAGGCTGAGGCAGGAAGATCACAAATAGACCCCAGCCTGGGCAACTTAGCAAATTAGTGAAAGCTTGTCTCAAAATAAAAAATACAAAAGGACTGGGGATATAGCTCAGTGCAAAGGTCCTGGGTTCAATCCCCGGAACACAAAGAAAGAAAAAGAAAAGAAAATGCCACAATAAAACCAAATATTCTATATAATTAATAGGCATCGTTAAATATATGTGTATAACGTGTGACCAAAATGATGAATGTTTAAAACTAAAACTAATTCATTACAGTAACAGACCTGTGGCCATTAGTCACCATCTAAACACTCCGCCTCACTTCCAACACATTTATCCCATCCTTCTTGCCACTTTCTGACAGAGCTCAGAAGTCCTCTTTTGTGAGTGTCTTTTCATGCCTGCCTAGAAGTCCTGACTTGATTCCAAAAGTTTATGGAAATTTATGCCAAATAAAAACATTATGGTGCATCCTCATCCACCTTATTCACTGGGCATGGCACCATATAACTTCTGGCTTTCTCCCAATAGCAAAATAACCATGAAAGGTAAATATTTTGAATGGATTCAGGACATCCACAACAACGCAACTAAGGACACTCATGAAAGAGGATTTCCCGAACGGCTTCAGAAAGTGGCAAGAATTATGAGATAAGTGTCCTTGATGTGAGTGGAAATATTTTGAAGTAGATAAATGACAATGTGTCTTTTATTATAATACATTTTAAATTAAATATTCATAGTATAGCTCATATATAACTTATTCCTGTGTATAAGAATTTCACTACCCAGTATCCAACCTTCCCCCCCCATCCCTGTAAGCCTTGGATTCTATGGTCCATGGCCTCAATAATGCCCTTGGAATAATTCAGAATTCCTTACAACTCATCTTACCTGCCTTGTGAAGCTTCAAACCTGGAAGGTTGCTATCTTCTGCCATTTCGTAGTTACTGCCATTTTACGGCAATCACTGAAGAAAAAGCATATAATATGAGATTTTGGTACCAGTATAAAATAAAATATTCAGCATCAACTGGGAAAGATGCATAATACCTGGAAATGTCACTTTCTTTTAATGTGTTGGCATATTGGCTCTTCAAGGTTTTCCCTAAAGACTGTTTCAAATGTTCTCATTTCCTTTTTACTCATATATACTCCAGTTTCCATAAAACTTGCCTGATGTTTCACAGGGAAATTGCAAACTACTAGCTTGAAATTTTAGGCATCTCACTGAGGTGATACTCTTAAGTGAAATAAATAGGACACACATGTAAATACCGAATAGTCTCTGGTGTGAGAAACTGGAAGTGTAAATAAGGACTAAAAGGTATAATAGATAATGTGAAATAGGAAGAAAAGGGGCGAAGGGGAAGGGGAAGTGGGAGGGGTAGGGGAAAGGAAAGAAGGGAATGGAATTAACATGAGAAAATGAAAAAATAGAAACAAAGTCTTTGTAAATAGGGAAGGATGGAGGGGTTGAAGGGAGGGCAGGGGAAGGGGGAAAAAACAAGAATCAAGAGAGATTACATAAAGGTACAAATCCCCAATGATGAATGTCATTATACTGTATACCTAAAATGTACCAATAAAATTAATTTTTTTAAAAAGAAATCTTAGGCATCTAGTTGCCAAATCTACAAGCTTCCATTGTTGTAAAATGTCCTCTAATTATATTGAAAAACCTTTATTTCATCCTCCAATCAGAATCTCATTCTTTTCTTCCTTAGTAACCCTATGCCTCTAATATCCCAGCACAGTCCCTGTATCTTCAGTGTCCCTTTTTCTACTAAATCCTTCATCAGCATTTAAATATGTTTAAATTTTTCTCAGCTACACAGAAACCTCTTGCCTCACCTTCTTAGGATCTCTCTTCAACTACCACTTTCTGTTTCTTCTCCTTAGCATGAACCGCTGAGAAAAACATCTGTACCGTATTTCTCTAACCGACTCCTCAACCCATGCCAAAGTTCTAACTTCCTTCAGCATTCCACAGCTGCTTCCCTGGACAAAGTCACAATGACCCTTTGTTATTAGTCCCAAAGGAACATTTTACTATTCATCTGATAAACTCCTGAGGTAGAAAAACTTCTACATAGGTTTGGAATAACTTTAATATGTGAATGTTATTTTATAGCTGGAAATTTATAAAATCTCACTGAGAGTAGGTCTATCTGACCAAATTCGGCTGACAAATTGAGATGTGGGGTAATTGGAAAGTATAAATTACATTTCTGAGTGTAGTACAAAAACAAAAATAATATAAATGACTGTAGATAATGATAATGCACTGTATGTCTCAAAAAGCGAGAGAAAGCTGGGTATGGTGGCACACGCCTGTAATCCCAGCACTTGGGAGGCTGAGGCAGGAGGATCACTGTGAGTTTAAGGCCAGCTTGGGCTACATAGTGAGTTTATGACCAGCTCAAACTACACAGTGAGATCCTGTCTCAAAAAACTGTGACAGGGACGTGCTCACCCCACAGGGCTCTGGGGTCATCTGGCTGGATTCAGATCCTGTCGCTACTAGGACACAGCAAAAGATGGAGGTAGTGAGGCTGAAGCCAGCAGGCTCGGTAAATTAAGAAGGACAGGAAAGAAAGTTACCAAACCACACCTCTGCTCCACTCAAGCAGCAGAAATGAACACATCCACGTCAAATGAGAGGAACCTGCTGAATCCCATCTGTCACACAATGACAAGGATGCCCAGGATCTGACTATAACCACAAAAACATCACCTCCTAAACTAACAACCCTGGCTGGTGAATTTCACCCAAACTCCGATCGTGCTAGGAACAGCACTCAAATTTTGACTCCACCTCAACTTTCTTCGAAAACGAAGCATATTAAGCAAGAGATGACCAAAAATCACCTCCAGTTTGTGTGTTTTGAAGCAACAGACCTACATGGTGGGTCTGGATCCAAGACTATCCCTGCATACTTCTTCCAAGTGAGTTTTACATACAGTTTCAACGGAATGTAATTTCATGATCATTAGCAAGCAAATGGTCCTTATTATTCATCCTTATATTCTTGTAATCTACGTAGCAATTCAAGCTGAAACACAATAATTTATCTTGTTTTTTCCCTGGTCCCTCTCCAAACACATTATTGCTCCCCAAAGAGCTTAAAATGTACTCCCAGCTCTCAAATGACAATTCGTGTACCCAATAGAAATAGAAAACCAATTAAGACTGGTAATTTTAGTCCTCCTGCCTTGAATAATTTCCCTCCACAGAGTTATCTTCTCTCTTATTGCAATTATGAAGATTACATTTCATTTGACATGAGGAAATTGCAGCAGAAGACCCAAGAGCAAATATTAAAGGGAAAAATGATTAAATACAAAGAATTTGCTAGACAAAAAAGTATATCCCTGTCAGCTCTAATTCTGATAAGAAAATTCCCTATTGTTGTTGGATCACTTAGTGAACATTAAATTCTTGAAAATAAAAAAAAGTGACAGGATTTTTAACATTTTCACCATATACAATTGTACTGCATGTTTATATGTGAGTAGTCTGCCAAGAAAATAATGGGATGGAAAAACAAAGTAAGTGAGACCAGTGGATGGGAGGGAAGCACTCCATGTTGAAGAATCAGAAAAGGTACAGAGGCTAGCTTATGATAGGAAACTTCAGAATGGATACAATGAGTCATAGTAATATAAACACTGCATATGTATTGAATAAAACTGATGCAAGACCACAAGGGTAAGAAGGTGTATTGTGGTAGAAAACTGAATTATGCTACTTCAAATACTATGGTAATTGTTATGGACTGAATTTTTGTTACCTGCAATAGTCCTATATTGAAATCCTACCCCCACAATGTTTTGGTATCAGGAGGCGGGCCCTTTAGGAAGCGATGTCATTACATCATAAATGGAACGTTTATGAATGGGATGTAAATGTGAACCTAACCAGTCTTCCAGGGTGAAAAGCTGAACAAACATTTAACCTTGTAGCAGCTGCACTAAAAAGGAGTGTTTTGAGGATTTGAAGGACTACTGGACACGGACAAGCAGGTCTCTGTGGTCATCGCTTTTGTCTGAATCCAGCTCCGCTGTGCACTTTGACCAAAGTCATTTGCTTCTCCAGGCCCCTCAGGCTGTAGGTGAGCATGGGAGTAATAAGGTTGTACAAGAGGGACATCGTGTTGTCCAGGTGTGGGCTAAGGTAAGCGCCTGGCACCAGGTACGTGAGCACTGATGCACCGTAAAAGCGCCCCACCATGGTGGTGTGCAAGGAGCGGGTGGTCAAGGCCTCATTTCGGGGTTCCTCTGAGCGCATGCGTAGAACAGCCCTCAACCCATGGCCATAGGAGGTGGCGACTAGGGATAGGGGAAGCAGCAAGATCAGCACCACAAAGGTGGACAGCGCCACCTCATCCGCAGAGGAAGGCACCTAGAGGAAGAAATAGTCCATGATGCAGGAGGCACAGGAGGGGAAGTGCAGGGTGATAGGGATCTGGATGGAAGCACTGCGCACACCTGCCAGCCAGGAGGAGCCCACGATGAGCAGGCACACCTGGAGCCTCATGTCCAGCGAGTAGCACGTGGCAGTATAGAAGAATATATGAGCTGCACAATCCCCAAAGGAGAGGGAACTTTCTCCTTGTGGGAAAATCTGATACCACCTTGGGGATGGTGACCAGAGGGAAGACAACGTCAAGGTTAAGCAGAAAGAGGCCCGGGGATTTAGCTCAGTGGTTCTGCCTCCTGCCTTGCAAGCGCAAGGTCCCGAGTTCAATCCCCAGTACCAGAAAAAAAAAGAAAAAAAAAGTTTAAGCAGAAAGTGCCTGGGAGTGTGGAGTCAGGGAGTCTATTCTCATGAAGAACAATAAGAAGGTGTTGCCCAAAAATCCGGTAAAGAATTTAACAACAGCAGAAAGAGGAGCCACTGATGTGGCCCAGAGAGACTGAGAACCCCACAAGAATGAGGTTCAGGGCCATCAGTTGATTTACACCTCCCATGGTTCATGCAATATACCTCCACTGCAGGATAAACAGAAAACCTTTGGTAAGGAGCCTGCGTGAGAAAGGCAAAGATGTCCCACTTTGTGCCAGCTACCAGTGCTTGGAAATGGTTTTCTGATTTAAGTAGAAAAATATGCCATGATCATTTATCTTCTTGTTAGATGAAATCATGCTACAAAATCCTTTGTTTATTCTATTTACTCAGTCCAGAGCTCTCCACTGGGAAATTGAGCAGCCTCCCACATCTGTCCTTGCTGAGTCTTTGCAGCTCCCTCTCCCGGGGCTGCCACAGCCCCCCACCTCCATAATTCCAGACCCCCCTCTCCCCATAATTAAAGCAGGCACTGTGTAGTGAAAGTGGAGAAGGCTGTGGCTGGTGCTCTGTCCAGGAAGGTCCTGGTAAACCGTGCCAGGGAAAGAGACCTCGTTGCCTGAAAAACTAGAATTGGGAGGCTTTGTGCTTCTTCAGGAAGGATTCAGCCAACAGGAAGATCACTAAAGACTGTTCCCCTCGTTCTCCCCTCTGCACTTACCACCATGTTTTCCCTTTATCACATTCATTCTTCACACTCCCTGCTCACCCTATAATTAAAGTCCATGCCTTCCAAGTGCAGGGAATTTCGTCTGCTTTGTTCAGTCTGTACTCGCAGATATTAAAACAGCACAATAAGCATTTATTCCATGAGTATCTACAGCACTCGTACACATGCACACACGTACATACATGTACGCAGTACATCTGGAAGGATGGGAAGGAAACGATGTTATCTCTGGGCAAAAGAACTGAGAAACTGACAGGAATGAGAACATTTTACTGACCTCATGCCACTGTTCGAAGTTTTCCGATGCACTAATCTATGACTTAATCCCCTCTTATGCCCCTAAAGCTCTTACATTAAGATATCTTCTGCCTTGGGAAAGCCAAGTTGTGGAAATGTGCATATATAATCTGATTTTATTGGGCTGTGCGATCAGGACAGACTGAAGAAAAGTTTGTTAAGCGTACGTCTAGGGAGCCAAGGAGTCTCCCCTCCACCTTCCCTCAGCTGATCTCTAATATTCCCTCCCCCACCCCCACCCCCAGGACTATACCAACCCCATCCCACAACCCACAAGTTCTCACCCCTAGAATTGGTCTCCACCTCCTGCCCCACCCCCAGCGCTGGTCTCTGCCCACGTCTAGTCCCACCCACAGCCTGGTTCCAGCCAACCGCTCTATCTTCAGAACTGGTCTCCGCCCACATCCAGCCTCACCCAAAGTCCCGCCTCCAGAACTGGGTTCTTCCTATAGTTAGCACTGTCCACGGCTGCCCACGCCCACCTCCCCGCCCTCACAACTGGTCTCCGCCCACTGTCAGCGCCTTTAGGCCTGGTACCGCCCACATCCTTGTCCCTGCTTACAGCCGGGTTCCTTGGCCTGGTCCTCGCTCCTAGAACCGACCCCGCTCCTCGCGGCTGACCTAGCCCAGAGCCCAACCTCATAAGTGCTAAGCGCCTAGAACACCTTCGCCTGAGAAGGGAGGGGGCGGTCACCTCTCCCGCTCCTCCGACGCAGCCCAGTTCGAACCCCACCCTCCGCAACTGACAGCCAAAACCGGAAGTAAGCTGCGGGCGCCCCGCCTACGACCGGAAGCGGAAGCGCGGAGCCGTACTGTGGGAGGAACCGAGGGTCCCGCGCAGCCCGGCGAGTCTGTTCTGTCCGTGAGTCTGAGCCTTTGGCCCCGAGGGAGGGGCGGACGCGGTGAGCGGAAGGGGGATCGGGTAGGAATCTGGAGAGGGGCCCCAGACATCCCGGGCCACGGGCTCGGCATCCTTCTGTCCTTTAAGGAACCCTGTTCCCTGCCGTGAGGCCTCGGACTCTTCAAGGGTCCTCTAGGTCGGAACCCAGCGCTGGCATCGCCACTGCAGGGACCCCTGTCGCCCTCACCGGGCGCCAGCCTGCATCCCAGGGGACTTGGCCGAGTCTGGACAGTTATGCTTGTCACAGACTTGGGGCGGGGACCAGTGCTGCTGTCATCTAGCGGGTGAAGGCCAGAGATGCTGCTGTGCATCCTATAATGCACAGTGCACCGCCCCACAAAAAAAGAATTGTCTATAGTGTCGAGGTTAGGAAGCCCTGCTGAGGGGCTTTAAAATCTCTGAAGTTCCGAGTGAACTATATAAGCTCAGTCACTTAGAGGACCTCACAGAACATGTTTGCAGTGTCTATAGTCATGGAAAAAAAAAACCAAAAACCTCCAGTCAGTCAAATGAGCAAGTCCAACATCAACTTGCTTTCTCCCATGCCTGACTAGGAATCAGGTAAATCCAGTCCCAGCCAAAAGTCTTTATTACATTGAATTGGTAAATACAAACACAAAAAGAAAAGCTTTTCTATATTTAGCAACAACCACCTTACTCCCTGTAAAAGGCATCAAAAACAATCTTTGTTCCCCTTTTTTTTTTTTTTTTTTTCAGACAGCAAGAGCATCATTGAAGCTTAGACTTGGGTGGAAACCAGTATCAGAATCTACCCACCCCTTCTCACTGATTCGTGGATTTCTGTGTGACCAGGCGAGTATCTTGTGGAATTTGACAACACCAGGGTCCCAGCAGGTTGCTTGCATTGTAACTACAAGGAGCCTTAGTGGGGGTTAAGAAAAATTTCAAGAAAAATTTCGCTTATATTCAAGAGAAAAGTACTAAGGTGTGTATGGTTGTGTGTGTGTGTAAATAAGTAAATATAGTCAAATGCAAATATTCAAAACAGTATTATGGTAAGTAGAGAAATAAAAACTTTCTTGCATGCCATAATACTAAAAATTTCAGGATTTTTGAGGAAACATATAAAATACTTACCTATATTTGTAGTATTACAAGTCTTCTCATTAAATACTAACAGTATTCTTCAGGCTCATTCCATTTGACTACTAAACACCTATAATCCTCCACGAAATTTCAAAAGAGATTATTTAAGTGTCTTTCTGTTAGAAGCAGAAATTTAAAATAGAATTGACGGGGATTTTTTTTTCTAATAAAACTTAAAACATTTGGAAAAATCTGAAGCAACAGTGTGTAGATGGAAGGGTAAAGCATTAGTTTCCAAAAAACATTGTCCTCAATACCTTGCCTTCTGTAGGAATTAGCTTTCTCAGATTTTTTCTGAAATAGCAGTGTAGATAATGGAGAGAATCGTAAGTAATCTTATGTGTAATTGTGGGGTTTTATTAATTATCTGCATGTGTGTCTTTTTCACTCTAGCTTTCCTGTGAGAGTACTGAAGGCATGTTTGCTAGTTACGCAATAGACCCTCTGAGTACACCATTTAGGGTGACCAGCCAGACCTATTTACTCAGGACTGAGGGCGTTCCAGGGCACAGGACATTCAGTGTTCGCACCAGGATGGTTGTTCTCCTCTGAGCCAGGCCTTGGGCCAGATGCATGGATACCCTGGAGAACAAAAACAGACCTTGTCCTACCTCCTCCATGACATGTCCACTCTAACAGAATTAGTATTGATAAGAGTATTGTGGGATGCAGGCTAAGGGGACAGGGAAGTCTCTTGGGAACAACTAATATTTAGCTTGCGAGGAAAAGGTAAGGTTAGATCTAGCTAGTTGTAGGGTTAGACTGGGGCTCCAGGGAACTGTACAAGAGAGGCCCCTGAGCAGGATAGAGCCCAGGGAAGACAAGGATGGCTGAGGTCAAGATGGCAGAGGGGAAAAAGTGTGCTCCAGATCCTAGTGGGAGGCAGAAGTCTGGATTGACTCTAGACTCTGTTCTCAGGCCAGTGGGAGAACACCAAAGATACGGGAACAGGAAGATGATGTGATGCACCATTTGATTTAAGCCCATGGGTAAAACAGACCTTAGGATTCCAAATGAAGAGTTTTTAAGAGGCAAGATAGGGGGCCAGGGATTTAGCTCAGTGGTTCCAGCGCCTGCCTTGCAAGCTCAAGGTCCTGAGTTCGATCTCCAGTGCCAAAAAAAAAAAAAAAAAAAAGAGGCAAGATAGGCAGTGTAAAGAAGTAGATTAGGAAGGAGAGGATAGTTCCTGAGCCTGAGTGATGATTGTGGAGTAGGAAAGAGGTAGAAAGATGAGATCGGGAATGTAGAACTGAGAATGATGATGCTCCCATTCCCGTGTGTGTTTGGCAGATGGCACAGAGTACTCGTGTGCACTTGGCTCCTATCTGTGCAAACCTCGGCCTGCCCCTCACCCACAGCCTGTGCCCACCCTCACTTTGCCTCTCCCAGAACCTTTCCCTACATCCTGAAGTTAAGTCAGGCCCGAGTATGCCTAGTGCTGACCATCCACTGTGGTAGCCACATGGAGCTATTTCTTTTAAACCAGTGAAAACTAAATACAATGAAAAAGTCATTATGTCAGTCACATGAGCCACATTGCAAGGCTCAATAGCCACATGTAGCTTGTTAGTGGCTACTGCGTAGGACAGAGGAGAATCAACATTTCTGTCACCATTGAAAGTTCATTGGGCAGTACTGGAAAAAAGTGGCCCATCTTCTGTGCCTGTCTTCCAGCATCAGCATATCTGGGGCAAGGTAGGTGTCAGAAAATCTGTAAACTGACTAGGAACCCTTCCTGCCTTCAGCACAATTTTCAGCTACCAGACAACCTTGAAAAGGACTCAGAGTCCAAAGATGTCCTAGCACCTCCTCCTCTGCCGGCTTCTCTCTTAGGGCACAGTGAACTGCCTGTATCCCAACCCCCTTTCTGTGCCTCAGCCAGTGACTAAAACTACCTGACTGCATATCCATCCTTAATGAGGAGAAAGGAGACATCCTATGCTGGAAAGGGCAGGGAAGTTTGCCAGAGCAGTCTGCGTCAGCTGACCACCCATACAGTCCTGGTTTCCCTGTTTGAGGAGAGAGACTGTATTATTTTTCTGTGGCTACTATAACAGACTACTACAGTGGCTTGAAACAAAACAGATTCATTCTTTTGCAGCTGGAGGTCAGAAGTCCCAAGTGAGTCACAGGCCTGAATTTCCTCTAGTCACAGGGATACTGGCTCTAGGGTAAATCCATTTTTGCCTTTTCCATCATATAGAGATTATCTGCATTCAGTGGCTTGCATTTCTCCATATTTAAAACCAACAAGGTAATACTGTGTTGTCTGATCTCTCTTTGTCTGTCTTTCCCTGTCTTCTCCCTCCCTCTCTGTCACCACTTCCTTCACCTTCACATGATTCTGTCGTCACATTTCCTTCTCCAACTCTGACTCTCCTGCCTCATTTTTTAGGGAACTATGTAATCCAGCCTGTATAATCCAGGACAATCCCCCCATCTCAAAGTCCTTTTTTTTTTTTTTGGTACCAGAGATCAAACTTGGGGCCTTGCTCTTGCGAGGCAGGTGGCAGAACCACTGAGTCAAAGTCCATATGTTAAATGCATCTGCAGAATTTCTCTTCCAAAATAAGGAAGCATACAACTTCTGGGGATTACAACTTGGACAACCCTTTTCTCTTTTGGTGGCTAGAAGTTATTGATCTGTCTTCCTCAAGGCCCAAGGGTCAAAGACTCCCTATAATCACATTTTTTTCACATGGCACAAACTCCATGTCTCTGTCCCCATTTCTGCCCATAGACACCGTTCACTGCTTTCTTTTGAGTACAGGGAGATCACACATAGAAATCTCAAGAAGCTGGTTTTATGGAGTTATATTATTTTGTGTCTATAAGGAGGAGACCTTCCCTTCTCATAAAAAGGAAACATTCTGTAAACCCTGCCTTGTACCTTGGTGTTTTTTTTTAACTTAAATTTATTAGAGATAGTAATTTCTACCAGTACCTAGAGATCTTTTCGGGTTTGTTTTTTTGTTTTGTTTTGTTTTAATTTTATTGGTACATTTTAGGTATACAATGTAATGACATTCATCATTGGAGATTTGTACCTTTACATAATATATCTTGATTCCTATTTTTCCCATATCCTGCCCTCCCTTCAACCCCTCCCCACTTGCCTATTTACAAAGTCTTGGTTTCCATTTTTCGGATGTGTTTTTATTTTGTTTCTGGCTGCATGCTTTTTCCTCATGTAGGTGTCCCATAGTTTATTCATCTGGTTTCCTTTTGATGGTTGGTTGTGTTATTTTCAACCATTTGCTGTTATAAACAATGCCAACAGTGAATAATTTTCCAAATAACTTTTACTTTTTGTGTATCTTTGAGCTAATCCCTGGAAGTGGGATCAACAGGGAAAGAATAAATGTGTTTGCACCTTTGCCTGACACTGACAAGCTCTTCCCATAGGAGCCACACCCAGCCAGGTGGAAGAAAGCCTCTTTGTGCAGCCTTGTCAGCAAAGGCTGTGGTCCCTGGTGTCTTTGCCGATCAGACAGATGGGGACTATTACCAGTAGAGCTGCAGCTTGCATCTCTTATCACCGTTCATGAACCTCAGTGATTCCATCAGGGGTGTTGTCCTGGAGACCATGGTGGTGGACACCGGACGGTGCTCTGCGGGAGAGAGTGGATGTGAGAAAAGGAAACAGTGAAAAATTTTAGCTGGGATGAGGGATGGATGGAGACTGGCCAGTAACTGGAAGAAAAACTGCTCAGAGCATAGGTGTATTTCACTGCCACAGATCCTGGACCTAGCTTGAGTGGCGAGAGGAAACACTTAAAAGGGAAGGCTGGAGATAGACAGTTTCTAGGAAGCCGGAGATGGAACCCGGGGCAGAGTCACCCCAGAGGGGAGGCAGCACCTTGTCCAGTAGAGGGAGAGGGCAGCAAGGCCCGAGTGGAATTTGATTGGTAAGACTGCAAGGTGGGTTCCTTCTTTTTTCTTTTTTGCAGTATTGGGGATCTAACTTAAGACCTTGCGCTTGCAAGGCAGGCACGGTGCCACTGAGGTAAATCCCCATCCCTAAGCTAAATCCCCAGCCTTGGGTTCCTTCTTGAGAAATAGGATGTGGGACTATCTCTGAGCGTGAGGTGATTCATTATTTGTTGTCACCTGACAGCTGGCTCCAAACCCTAGTCATGTAACAATTTATCGTGGCTCATGGCCTGTGGTTCGGAGATTCAGGAGTGGTATGGTCAGAAGGCTGTGGCTCAGGACTCTTGGAGGTTGCAGGAAGCCACCACCTGGGGCTGGGCCATTTGAAGGCTCAAGGTGCTCCAGGATTTGTTTCTGACTCCTCACTTGCTTGGTGGGAGGCAGCTAGAATGTCTTCCCACCAAGCCAGTCAGCTTCCCCTGGACGAGGCATCCACGAGACCAAGGTGGAAGCTGCAGTTCCTTCTGGGACCTGGCCTCAGAAGTCCTCCCTGTCACCTCTGCAGCAGTCTATGGGTGCCCAGGTCACCCTCCTTCTGAGTGTGTTGGGGCTGTGCAGTAACCACCAGGGGACTGGGATCTGCTTAGGAAGCTGGTTGCCATTGGGAGAAGACGGGTGTAGAAGACCCACAGAGATTATACGTTTGAGGACAGGGAAGCTACGTGGACCTGTGGGACCTTCCCCCAAAGTCAAGTGCTCTTTTCATGTTGATGCCTTGCTTGTCCAGAGGTAACCACGTCACAGTCCTTGCGCAGATGTGGCCTTGACCAGGGCGGTGATTAGAATCTGCCTGGCTGTAGTTCTGCTGGCTGGCTGGGGGGGTCTAGGCTGGGGCCAGAACATCCATTGACATTAGGGATGAGGAAATCTGAGCCTGCTAAGTATGAAATAAAGAAAGGAACTGACTAATGACAAACAAGGAAATAGGAGAGAGGGTAGAATGTGGCCTTCGTGTAGTCAGAGAAAAAAGATGAACACAGAAGAAAAAAGAAGTTAGAGGGAGGAGAATTTCTGAATGTTTTGCCCAGCAGTGGGGTAGTGCCAGAGATGACGTGGGCAGGGTGGGACCCATGGGAATGTGGGGCTGAGGTGGGGTAGCCAGGACCATTGGAGTTGACACTCCCCATACCCTGAGGCTGCCTTGTCATCTGAGGTGGGCATGGAGGTTGAAGGAATAATGAGAGTCAGGAGCCAGAGTCTCTAGGGAATGACAAGTTGTTGACAAGAGTGTGACAACAGCTTGGATGGGAAGAATGTGCCACGAGATTCAGGGAAGTCAAGGTTTTCACTGGACCAGTGAGTATCGGTCCCACCATTGGTGACACAAGAAGATAAGCTTCACCAACTATGACATACAGTATACATTTTGGGTTTTCATCTATGGTTCCAGGGTCAAAACTTCCTCCTCTCAGCAGGCCATGGAGACTAAATTTCTTTTCCCTGAGGTAGGTCACAGGGACTCGAGTCATCCCCGCCTTCACCTAGCCATAAGCAGTACTCTGATCTACCATGTCTGATAGTTGTTCATACAGCCCTCCTCACTGAAGAGGGTCCTGCCCCTATCTTCAAAGAAGGGACGCTGTACAGAGACTGAACAGACAGGCCTTGCTGGGTCTCCCATGCAGTCTGTGTGCAGTCCTTCCCGTGCAGTGAAGTCTCCATAGAAACCCAAAGAACATGGTACCATGAAGGAAGGCAGCGTCTTATCCAGCTGAGGGAGACAGGAGCAGTCCTGAGTAGAGAGCTTCCAGACAGCTGCATGGCTGAGGGTCCTGGGAGGTGGAATCTCCACATGCCTTCTCCCATACCTCACCCTGTACATCTCTTCAACCATCTCCCTTGTCATATTCCTTACAATGGAACAGTAAGTGTGTTTGCTTGAATGATGTGAGCTGCTCAAGGAATTTAATCAAACCTCCAGAAGGGGTTGAAGGAACCCTGATTTACAGCCCTCAGTCAGAAGCACAGGTAGAACGACCTGGGGCTGACTGCCATCTGAAGTGGTGGGGGTGGCCTTGGGGACTGAGCCCCCAGCCTGTGGAATCCAACGCTGTTTCCAGGTAGGTAATATCAAAACTGAATTCAGACAGAGGACACCTGGCTGTTGTCCACTGTGGAATCGATTGCTTACTTGCTGACAGGGAGAAGTCCCCACACGTGTGAAGTCTGTGCTGATTGTACTGTGAGAGCAGAGAAGAAACAGACACTTTGCCTTTTTCATGATGCTTAGCCTGCTAAACAGAATAAAGGCCCGCATGGAAGACAGAACTTGCATTTGAAAGGAGGTGTGATGGATGGCTGAGGAAGACGCATCCTCAGCAGCGTGAGAGGGAGCACACCATGCAGACTCTGTGTCCTATTTATTCCAGAGTGCTGCTGCCCCACACCCCGAGGGAGTACGAGGTAGAGTGTTGCTGTTCTTCCACTGCCCTAGTGTGCAGGAGCTTTGCTGTCAGAGTCACAGGATGGCAGCTGCTGTCCTGCCCCCAACTTGTGGTGAGTCCTCAAGTCCTGGCAGCCCTGGGAGTCAGGCTCAAAGGCCCATCCCCAGAGAGGCATGGGAGGGGGCCAGGCAGGTACAGCAAGTAGATTCTGGGAGCCCAAGAACCTGGATCTGATGGGCGCCTCTTGGCATGTGGGACTCTGAGGTTTGGGTGTTGCTGTGTGTGTCACCTGTGTGGTAGAATTAGGCTTAATTCTTCTGTAAAAACAGTGATGCCCTCCAGACTTCACTTTCCTCATCTATGACATGGGAATACTCATCCAGACCCTTGAGCCTTGTTTTCTGGCTGGGGCGAGACAGGGCTGGGTCCTGGTTTCTCATGGAAGCTGTGGGTATCTCTGTGGGGGTGGAGGTTTGCACTGAGTGTGCTCAGTGAGTGCATGTGTTACATGTATGTTTGTTGGTCTGTGTACAATCAGGTGGATGGAGAAGTCTCCAGGGCATTGGAACATAGGGCAGCCTGGATTCTTGTGACTCATTTCTTCTTCCCCAGCTCAGTCCTGCATATACCCAGCCTCTCCTCAGAAAGGACGAACGGGGAAGGAAAGGCTGGTCAGTGAGTTCCTGACATGCTGGTTGCAGGTGAGTCTGAGCTCCCTGTGTCCAAATCATCATTCCCCTGGCAGAAGTTGGACTTGTTCCCTTCAGTGGCCTGGAGCCTCACAGCCAAACCAGGTGCTTGGATATCAAAGGATCCCCAGGCATCTGATGGGGCTGAGGAACTGCCCAGAAAATGTCCATGTATCTCAGCACTCACTGCATTTTCAGAACTCTGCAGAGTCCCTAATGACATCTTGTGCTGTAAAGACTTTAAAGGAAAGTCACATGAAGATGTGACTGTCCTTAACTAGTGCAACTCATGATTGCTTTGGAGAAATCATTTTTCATTACCAGGTATTTCTTCTACTTCCACATTATCTCAGGCCAATTTTAAACCCTCAATACTGTGGGAAATAAGATTTCAGGAGCTCAGTCAGTACAGAAGGCCACCCTGTGTTGAGGGCACTGGACCTCAACAGTGGTCCAGTGAGGGAGTGGGCCCACTGGACACTGAGACTGAGCCCAGAAGCCAAGGCGAGCAGTGCTAAGAACCCTCGCAACATGTCTTGTGCTCTGGTCCCTTCCTGTTCACATTGAGGGGATCCTTGGCTGAGCCATGATGTTTGCAATGGTTTAGGACCTGGTGACCTTTGAGGATGTGGCTGTGGACTTCACCCAGGAAGAGTGGGCATTGCTGGACACATCCCAACGATCCCTGTACAGGGAGGTGATGCTGGAGAACTGCAGGAACCTGGCCTCGCTCGGTAAGCTCGACGCCGTCCTGCGTTTACTTTGTGGCTCAGGTGGCAATACCTGCTTTCACTTTTATTAATTTTAATGATGTAAAATTCACAGAACATAAAGTTCAACATCTTTACATCATTTAAAAATGCATAGTTCAGTGGCTTTTAGTGTGTTCACAGTGTTGTGCAACTCTGTAATCTCAGAACAGTTTCAACACTTCTGCTGTGACTTGTCTATGGTTTACGTGCTGGGAGTTTGATCTCCTGTGAAACAGTATTGAGGTAATAGGGCCTTTAACAGGTCAGGCCCAGTGGGAGATGATTTGATCTGGAGACACCGCCCGCAGAAAGGATTCATATTGTCTTTCTCCAGTGGGTAAGGTCTCCCAGGACCAGGTTAGTTCTCTCGAGAATGGGTTGTTAAAAAGGGAGACCATGATTTGTGATTCAATTCTCTCTATGCAGCTGATTCCCTTTCCTCTTCTGTTCAAAGTTGTACTAAAACCGTCTTCTCAAGATGCCGACACCGTGCTATCTGGACTTTGCAGAAACCAGAATCATGAGCCAAAATAAAGCCTGTTTTCTTTGTAAAGTATCCAGCCTTAGACATTTTGTTATAGCAACAAAAGTTGGATTAAGTCAACCCCTAGAAAACAAAAAACACCCTAGCCCTGTTAAGCGTTCACCATCCAATTACCTCCCCTACTCATGGCCACTGGAAACCACTAATCTGCTTCCTTCCTGAGTTTGCCCATTCAGAACATTTCCTAGGAATGGAATCAAAGAAAGCATGACCTTTTGTGTCTGACTTTTTTCATGTACATAGTATTTCCAAGGTTTAGCTCTGTTGTAGTACGTATCACTGCTTCATTTCTCACAACTAAAGGGTATCCATTATATAGAAAACATCAAATTTTGTTGATCCAGTCATAGGTTGATAAACATTTGAGTTGTTTCTACTCTTCGGCTATTATGAGTAACACAACTGTGACTATTTCTATACAAGTTTTTTGGTTTTGGTTTTGGTTTTTTTTGGCCTGCTGATATCTGATTTTGAACTTCTTTTGAATTTTTCATTTCAGTTGTACTTTTCAACTCCAGAATTTCTATCTGCCATCTTTTTCATGATGTTTTTCTTTTGATAAGAATTTATTTTCTTGATTTCCTTCCATTGTTTTTAGTATATGTGCTGCCAAAGTGAGCACTTGCCATTCTTTTTAAACATATTGAAAATAATTGATTTATTTTCTGTGTCTACTAAGTCCAGTGTTTGGACTTCCTCTAGGACAGTTTCCGCCAATTTATTCTGCTAATTGCATCCCATGATTTGTACTGCTGATTGTATGACAAAGTATTCATGTCATGTTTTTGTTTATTTTCCTGACTCACTATTTTGTTGAAAACTGAAAATGTGGAATATTACAATATAGGTTAAGTATCTCTTATCTGAATGGTTGTTACCAGAAGTCTTTCAGTTTGGGGACTTTTTTTGGACTTTGGAATATTTGCATAAACTTTACTGATTAAACATCTCAAAATTTTTTTTAAGGGGCATGAAAAAGATTGATTAGAGGGAGATATAAGATGCACTCAAGAGCAGAGTGCAGGTGCTCAAAGAAATGAGGCACAACCCAGTTAGGGACTGGGGATCTTTTATGTACCTTGGGAACTATAAATCTGTGGGATTTGATAATCTGTGGTCTAGTCTCAGTCTCAGAGAGCAGGAGAGGATGTCCCACCTTTAGTGAGCTTTTCCTATGGGAAATGCCAAAAGGGTAGTCCCTTCATGGATGAAAGAGGACCATTTACAACTAAAAGGGAGTGGACAGACCTGTTTGCAGCTGAAAGGGAGTTCCCCAGGTGTGCTGTTTTGGAAGAAGGAAAAAAAGTAAATAAACCGAGGCTGTGTTCTGAAGCTGCAGTTTTTCTTTAAAATTCAATTTTTTAAACTTTGATTTCCTTGTCTCTTTTCTACCTAAGTTCATTTCTTCTGGCCTACTTCATCTTACCCCTGGAGACTTCCATCCCTTATTCTTAAAGGATTGCACTTTCCCTCTCCCCTCCCATGTGGTGGGAGTCACTAGGCTCCTCTTCCTGGCAGCTCCCCACTTTTTTGGAAAGCAGCAAAAAAAATACATTAAAGGGGTTTGAGTTTTCTGACAGATGAAATCCTGAGTGGGAGACAGAGGAAGAAAAACAAATTACTGGGAAGTTATGCTTCAGAGCCAAAGAGATTGGGAGAAAATAACTCTTTAGAGAAAACACTTCAGAGGCGCAGGGGATTGGAAGAAAGTGGGAACAAAAATAAAATAAATCGTGCCGGGGATTTAGCTCAGTGGTTTTGCCGCCTGCTGCGCAAGCGCAAGGACCAGAGTTCGATCCCCAGTACCAAAAAAAATAAAATCAATAAATGAAGCCATTTGGCTGGAGTTACCAAAGGATGCCTCTTCTTTTACCTTCTGCCCACTGGCTCGCCAAGAAAGATGTCATGGGTGGGTCTGAGGGCCCCTAGGCCGAAATAAGGAATTTAACACACCCCTTAAAATGAGTATGCTGGGCCGGGGGTTTAGCTCAGTGGCACTGCCTGCCTGGCACGCACAAGGCCTTGAACTCAATCCGTGGTACCAACACAAAGAGTAAAATTAGTCTGGAGGTTTGCTGACTCCTGTCACAGAAAAAAAAAAAAATTTCAGGAAATGTTAGTAAAAGAGGCATAAGAAAGATTTATTAGGACCGGGGATTTAGCTCAGTGATTTTTGCCACCTGCTGCGCAAGCGCAAGGACCCAAGTTCAATCCCCGGTACCAAAAAAAAAAACACAAAGATTTAGTAGAGGGAGATATAGGACAAACTCAAGAGCAGAGTGCGGGTACTCAAAAGAAATGAGGCACTGGCATCCCAAATTTGAAGTCCAGGATGATCCAGAAGATAAAACTAAGGTCAGTGCTCAAAGAGTTTTGGGTTTGGGAGCATTTCTGATTTTGGATTTTTGAATTAGGCTTACTCAACCTATGCAGCAATTCTGGAATAAGATTTTACTCCCATGTTTTACAGTTTGTTATGGATACATATTGATTGTAGGTATCTTTAGTGATGCTTTAGAACTAACTTTGTAATTCCTGTATTTTTCACGTGTGGCCACTAAAATCTCTTTTTCATCAGCTTTATAATCATCTAGTGTTTTGACTGAGTGTTACAGGGCCAGGCAAGTTCAAACTATAGAGATGCGCCACACTCTGAATTAAATTGATTCCTCTATTATCATAGCTGGGGATCGAGAATGGCTCATGCTAGAAAAGTTCTTGACAAAGGAAAGGCAGTTTGCAGGGTCCTTTTAAGGGCTCTTCTATTTGGGGAGGGCGCAGGGAGGGGGGGAGCACAAGAGGAATTTCACAAGAGCAGGACTTTGCTAAGTCAGCGGGGCTCAAGCAGTTTCACACAGTTAAAATATCACACAGGTCTTCTATCCAAGGTAGGAAAGATAACATAGTTACAGACTTAACACAGGTACAGAGCATCCTGTTTGCAAGGCAGTAAAGTTAACATAGTTGCAAACTCACATAGGGTGCAGTGGTCTATCATGCATTAACTGAGGGGATTCCCAAGACGCGGAGGAAGGGGAAGGCAACCCCCCAGAATTACTCGACTTGACACAAATGCAGTCAGGTGCACAAATGGAGTCAGGTTAGTTATCACAAGAGATTTCTTTAAAGGCTTATAACCATAAACCAAAATCCCCCAGTCTCTCCAGATAGGTTCTGTCTATATATAGTCATGTAAATACTAAAAGTAAGCTAAGCAGCTTACCACTTTTCTTTGGCTTTGACTTCTGTTTGTGTAGAGCCTGAAGGTCAGCCAGAGGTGAGGGTTTAGTGCCTTCTGTCTTTTCTGAGCACACAGCCAGTCGTGGGTACATGCATGGCATTCTGGAGTCCTAGGAATATTAGGGAGATTTTACAAATTTTTCCCTACCTTCCATCTCAGACTTTTGGTTAGTACTAGTTTTGTTTGCTTCTATTGCTTTCTCTTGCCTTTGGCAGTATTGATTAGTACATTGGCCTTTAAATGTGTGCCTCACATGTGTAGCAGGTAGGCAGCTCAGTCCTCAGAGTTTGGAGTCAGGTAAATAAAGGAAACCCCCTGAGCCAGTCAGAGACTTCAGGAAGCCCCAGGACAGGCCAAAACAGGCACAGAATATGTTTCATTTTGTTCCCTTCAGGACTAGCAGTGCTGACTGTAGGCTTCAAAGCCATGGTCAAAGCAGAGGAAGGGAAATGGGCCTGAGCCAATTAAAATGTAATAATGGTCTCTTACCTAGATTTAGCTTTTTTTCTTTACTAGACATTCTGATTGCTAGAAACTTTTTTTTTTTTTTTTTTTTTTTGGCTGTAAGCTTTTGAGAAGTTTCCAAAGTACAAGTTGAAAGTGCCCCTGTCTTTGCAAGTTTATTTCTTGCTTTTGTGGAGGGATGGGGTTTTTGAGTTCGCTGTCATCATTTTTCAGAAGTCTCTTAAGGACTTCTATGTTCCTAGGTCTGTACAGGGACTTGACAATAAATTGTAAATGAGACGTACTGTCTCCATTCTCATGAAGTAGCCTGTATATCACATGTAGTTTCTCTTAAATAGGGTGTCATGTTGGTAAACCCAGTCTGATCTCCCAGCTGGAGCAAGAAGATAAAGTGATAATAGAGGAAAGAAGAAATCTCCCAAGGACCTGTCCAGGTGAGCTCCAGGTGTATATGAGCCCTTGTGAGAAATATCTGTGGTGTGGCCAGGGACTCAAGAGTTAGTAATATTGCATAAGTTAATTTCAGTCAGGAAACTCTGTAAAGTGCCTTCTTTTTCTGACAAAGATGAACATGGGGCTGGGGATTTAGCTCAGTGGTTCCACCGCCTGTCTCGCAAGCTAAGGACCCGAGTTCAATCCCCGGTACCAAAAAAAAAAACCAACAAAGATGAACATGAACATTTGGGTTGAGATTCTCGTGTTCCTTCCTCTTTAACTTTTTGTTTATCTCATATTTTAGTCTCTTGAGTACATTGCTTTTTAAAATTTGAGTCCCACTTTTCATTCCTGATTATTCCTTGTCAATCTCAGTGTTTCTAGTATCTTGCTTTTTTGCCATAAAGATAAACTTGAGTCCTTTGTAGGAAAAAGGATGCTCCTTAGACCATAATGTTAAATGAAATATATCAGACACACAAGCTTAAATAATCTCATGGTTTCTTTTAAGTAAGAAACCCAAAATATATATAAAGAGCAAAATAAAAGATGGATAATAGGAAGTAGGGAGATAGATCTTTCTCAAATGAGAAGGGGATCAAGCGATGGGGGAGATGAAAAGGATGAAAAAAAGGAATTGAAATGTTATGTACATGTACCAGCTCCCCACAAGGAGTGTAAACATTACGTACTGCAAACATGTACTAATAAATAAGTTAAATTCTAAAAAGAAATTAATACCTAAAATTTTCATAATTACCTTTCACTGCAAAAATTCTGATCTCTTGACTCCACCTTTGCTAATTTCTGTACCTTTCCATTTCTTTTTTCCATGAACCTAAGTTTCTTCTCACTTTGTTTCAGATTTGGAGACTGTACTCAAAGCCAAATGGCTAACTCCTAAGAAAGATGCTTTTAGAAGAGAACAAGTAAAAGGTGTAAAAACGGTAAGACCAACATGGATGATTTGTTTTTCTACAGTAGAAAAATGTCATAAGTTAGAAAAGACACAAAGTAACCCAAAGTTAGACTTGAGAAATAGTGTCATTGAATAGACTCTGTGAAACTACTGTGATTTGGGAGGAAAGTATAAGTTAGCTCCAAACTTATTTCTTCACTGAGACTTCACACATGAAATACTTAATGAAATAAATATTTCATTAAATATGTGACAGCATATTAGCTATTCAAAACATTAATTAGTCTTTAAATTATTAGAAAATAATTTTATGGGGCCAGGGATTTAGCTCAGTGGTGCCGCTGCCTGCCTCACAAGCTCAAAGGCCCGAGTTCGATCCCCGGTACCAAAAAAAATAATTTTATGAATATGAAAAAGACTTACAGCCAAACATTTGTTGTTTTTAACTTCTAAGGACTTAAACAGGGCAAAAAACAGTAGCCTAAACATCAGTTTTCATGATGTAGAATTCCTGGGAGAGACAGTTTGTACAACATGAAATGTCAAAAATATTATAAATTAATTTATTCATCTCTTAACAGGAGAGAAGTCGTCATGGAGTGAAAATCAATGAATGTAATCAGTGTTTTAAGGTATTCAGCACAAAGTCTAATCTTACTCAACACAAGAGAATTCATACTGGAGAAAAGCCCTATGACTGTAATCAGTGTGGGAAATCCTTCAGCAGTAGATCTTACCTTACTATTCACAGGAGAATCCATAATGGGGAGAAACCCTATGAATGCAATCACTGTGGCAAAGCCTTTAGTGATCCCTCATCCCTCAGACTGCACGTGAGAATTCATACCGGAGAAAAACCCTATGAATGTAACCAGTGTTTTCACGTCTTCCGCACTAGCTGTAACCTCAAGAGCCACAAGAGAATCCATACAGGGGAGAATCACCATGAATGCAATCAGTGTGGAAAGGCCTTCAGCACAAGGTCATCTCTGACTGGACACAATAGCATTCATACAGGAGAGAAACCTTATGAGTGCCACGATTGTGGGAAAGCCTTCAGGAAGAGCTCCTATCTGACACAGCACGTGAGAACTCACACAGGTGAAAAACCCTATGAGTGCAATGAGTGTGGCAAGTCCTTTAGCAGTAGCTTTTCTCTAACAGTGCATAAGAGAATACATACTGGAGAGAAACCCTATGAATGTAGTGACTGTGGGAAAGCCTTTAATAATCTTTCAGCTGTTAAGAAGCACTTAAGAACTCACACTGGAGAAAAACCCTATGAATGTAACCATTGTGGAAAATCTTTCACTAGTAACTCTTACCTTTCTGTGCACAAGAGAATACATAACAGGTGGATATGAATTGGGATGAGAAATTACTATGAGAATGTCTAGGAAAGCCCTTGTTGACCTCTCAACTTGAGAGAACTCACAACAGATATACAGGTTATCTGTTGCTGCCTAAAAAATCATCCCCCAAAACTTTGTGGCTGTAAACAATTCATCATGTCACAGTTTCTGGAGGCCAGGAATTCAGGAACAGCTTAGTTCTGTAGTTCTGGGTCAGGATCTCTCATGAGATTGTAGTCCAGATGTCAGGTAGAGCTGCAGTCAGCTGAAGTCTTTAGTCTTTACTGATGAAGGGTCTACTTCCATGTGGCTCCCTCCCGTGTCTGGAAACTAAGTGCCGGTTGTTGACAGGAGACCTTCAGTTCCTCATCATGTAGGCTTCTCTACAGGGTGAGGTATTTCCACACTGTGGCAGCAAGTTTTTCCCAAAGCAAGTGCTGGAAGGGAGTGCCAGTAAAGAATCCACAGTTTTTTTATGATCTATCATCAGAAAAATGTATTTTCACCTCCATATTATACTGGTTACACACAGACCAATTCTAATACAGTGTGTTAGAAGATTACAGCAAGTGTGAGTACTAAGAGATCACTGGGAACCATCTAGGAAACTTGCCATGAAATTGATGAAGAAAAGCCTTCAACACACCTTATCTTTCCAATCAGTGTGAAATGGTATTTAGTAACTCTCCTGTTAATTTACTTAGGAGAGAAACCTACTGAGTACAATCTCAGTGATAAAACTTCCAGCTCAAATTCACATTAATATTCTTCAGCAAAACCTGAAGAATGAAAGGAAAGCCTTCAGCTCTAGCTCCTGGGAGTTATGTAACAGCTCCCACTGGGAAAAACCCTATGGAGATCATCAGAATGTAAAAAGCCTCCTATGATGATCACCCTTTCAGAGGCACACATGAAATCAGATGTGGAAAACTCTATAGCACAAGTGTTCATGTTACTGAGTACATGATGGTGGAGTACTCTGCAGTGACCATAGGAAAGCCTTGAACATTCTTTACTTTTAAAAAGATAGGAGAATTTATTGTGGAGAAAACTGTTGGACATCATTGGTATTGGAAGACTTTCCATTTTCCCACATTGGGTAGAAGACTTGTGAATACAAAGAAAGGGGGAAAGCTTTCTAGGATGTCACTTAGGAAAAACATGAAAATTCTCCCTGGGTGTAAAACCTATGAGTATTTTGAAAATTTTTCAGTGATTTCTCTTCTGAACACTTACATGGTGGAACAGCCTAGGAATGTAATCTATAGTAGAATGCCTAGCCTCCACTCTTCACTAAGGGACTACAAGATAATTGATACTGGGAATAACAGTATAAGTGAGTCTGGAGTTAGCATTACCATTGTCTAATCTGTAGGTTTGACCACTAAATCATTAATTTTAGTCTTTGGTTCATACAAACATGTATCTGTTCCTCAAAATAAACCCTAAGTTACCTTCCAAAGTTTGAATGCAATCTATTTATTGTAATTTGCTCTTTAAAAACGTAAGTACATTATATATCCAAAAAGGTACAGAATTTCTAAATATCTCCTGAATCCTTTTACTTATATGAAATTAGATAATACCTTTGATACTTTTTTTCCTGTTAGTGATATTTTTGTCAGAATGTGTGGACTTCATTGTATTGATTCTTTTTTCTGTTTCTATACTAGTATGGCAAATACCATTAGCTTCTTTTGCAATGCTTGTACTCCCCTCCGTATTTACTTAAAGAAACATTTCCTTCAAGTTGTCTGAGCAATATTGAAAATAAGCCACCAGGCTTTCTTGAAGCCCAGAAAGATGATGTTCCATTCTGCTGACTATGAGAATTAGATAGAAGGCTCTTTGAGGGCTTGAAGAGCCATCTGACTTGTTTTCTATTTACCTTACCCATCCCTAATGGAAAGTGGCCTTGAGGTCTGGAGAATAAAGAGCTACACACACACACACACACACACACGCACACACAATGAAAAGATCTATAGTGAGGCAGAAAAACCAGAATGATTTTAATTTCCCCAACGCTGCTGATAGGCTATGTCAGCTCTGCACTGCTTATTAAGACTTTCTCTTTGTGTGAGTAAAAGTAACCCTTAACTGGTTGAAGCCAAAGTGATTTGTTATTTTTGAGGTGTTTTGTTAACTTCCAACTGAATACAGTATTTTTAACTGCTAAACTTAGCAGTTTGCCCAGTGTTATCCATGTTATATGTTTCTTTCAAAATGCTGTATATTATCTAATATGTAGATACAGGGTATAAGGATATTAATTGTGTTTTCGTTGTACAGACTTTTTTCTTTTAACTTCAGTGATAATGGTGTAGTAAAATCTTCCGTTATGAATATGGGCTAACATTCTTGTAATTCTGTCTTTTTTTTTTACTTATTTATTTTGATAATGCTGTAACTGGATGTATACAGGATTAGATATTTTCATGTGAATTGTTTCTTTTTATGGAGGTCCCACATTTTTATATAGCTAAGGATTATAGTGCCTTCATAACAAATAGTCAAATATATACCATGTTTTGTACACAGGCAAAAGTACTTTATAAATCTTAACTATTGAGTACAGTAATACCTCAGTTCACGAATGCTTCTATTTGCAAATAATTGGGTTCACAAACAAAAACATTCAGCAACATTTTGCTTCCATTCCCAAACTCCGCCATGGGTGACAAACACAACTGCATCCATCTTCCCCACACAAACACAAATCCAGCCATCTTCCCCCAAATTCTAAAAGAAATTAAGTTTGTAAACTGAGGTACCACTATACTCATTGTTCACTTAAATTATGTTCTATTGTCCACACAGAAACTAGTTGCCTGAGTTCACTGGCTAATGAGAATAGAGCCCAGATTTGAACCATGCTGTTAACCACTATCCTATTTATTAAATACATTCTGTGGGCCAAGCAAGATTTTTAAACACCAGAGCACTTCATTCTAATGGGACAAGAGTTGGATTTTAGAAAAATCAAAACGTTATGTGCATTGTGCAGAAAGACAAGCTTTTTAAGACATGTAAGAGATTAGTGTTGTCATTTTTTGTATAGTAGTTAATAATTATTTGAGCAGAGATCTTGATTAGATGGGATGGTGAGATGAATTTCTGGGGCAAGAGCAGTCTGGGCGTTCAAAGGCCAGTATGATGAGTAGAACTGGTTTGAGGGAGTGGTAGAAACGGATGTCAGAGATGTGGTAGATCCTGCTCTCCTGTCTCTGTTAGGACTTTTTCTTCTATTTTCAAGAAGTCATATTACTGTCAAATGTCCCCGATAGACTCATTTACTGAAGGCTTGACCTCTGGTGCAGCAGAGTTGAGGTTTTGGGCAAGTAATTGCATCATGAGGGCTGTACCTTCATCTGTAGATTAATCATTGATGGATTCAAAATTGTATGGCATTATGAGAAAGTAATGGATACTTCAGAGACAGGGCCTAGTTGAAAGTAACAAGTCTTAAGGGCATGCTCTTGGAAGACTGTCTTATCCCTGAACCCTTGCTTTCATACTCTGCTTCCTGGTTGCCATGAAGTCAGCAGATTTCCTTTGCCATGGCCTTCTGCCAAGATGCTTCTGTGTTGCCACAGGCCTAAAAGCAATGGAATCAATTGATCGTGGACAAAAACCATGAGCTAAAATAAACCTTTCTTGCTTGAAGTTGTTATTCTTAGGTATTTAGCCACAGCAATAGAAAGCTAACCCACCCAGTATTCCACAGTGTGAACACTCACTATAAGAGCCCCATTGGACTTTAAATTAGGTTTCTAGTGAGAGGACGGTACATGAGGAAAGAAATCATACTAGTATGGTTAAATAATTCTATGCAGACTGTGTGTTATACTTTGAATGCAGAGAGGAAAACACTTGGCACTCAGTTGAATAGAATGTCCCTTAATATTTTTTGGCCAAGTTTGATGGTAAATAACCAAGTGCATCAGCTATGTCCTCAAAAGGAAATGGTGACCAGGCCAGGGATTTAGCTCAGCGGTTTCACTGCCTGGTGCGCAAGCACAAGGACCAGAGTTCGATCCCCGCTACCAAAAAAAAGGAAATGGTGACCAAGTCCAGACCTTGTAGACATAAGGGTCTGTTTCAGCCTTCATGAGACCTAGACCAGCAGAGGTGGTAGTCAAGGGAGAAGGAAAGCTAGAATGGGGTAGCAAATGAGTGTAGTGATGAATATCACCTACCCCTGTGAGGCTAGTCCCTGCAATCAGAGGATGTTGTCCATAATTTGTTTCATTGATCTTCCTCTTATAAGTCCCTCCAGGAAACGACCATCCCAAAGCCTGGGTGTACTTACACTGGGAAGCAAGTCCTTTGGAATGGCATAAGTGGTGCTCTGTAGTGGACACAGTGCTGTGTTTTCCAGATTCTTCCTTCAGGACAAAAGCACTCTTCACCTGGAAGCATTGGCTGCTAATGGCTTGTGCTGCCATGCACCCTGGGAATTCTTTAGGCCAAAGGAAAGTACACCTAATAGAATGGCATCCTCCCAGGGTAGCCCACTTCTAATGACTTGTTGATTGTGGTAAGGGGGAGGTGCAACATACAAAGGCCCAGTTCCCTTGCCTTAATATGGGACATGCCTCAAGGACTGCCCTGCCTCCACAGCTCCCCATGGGACCGATTAACACCTGCATTATAATTTACCACAATTTATGTTCCTACTCTTCCCAATCCTGGTATTCTCCTTTAGATGTTACGTCCCCAAGAGGGTTCAATAAAGTCTATTAAACAAAAATCTCCACCCCACCTCAGAAAAGATCACACTATTAGATGTACAACCTGATTTGGATGAGGACCTGGCAGAGATGAGGAGGAATATGAAATGGGTTATAGAAGAAAGCTCCAAGAGGATTAGCAAGGAATACCTACAGAAAGCTGAAGAGTTGTTAAGAAATTTCACAGGTCAAGTCCTTGGCATTTGAGGTTGATTTTTGGACTCATTCAGAGTAGAGTAAATTTGGAGAAAGCACTGGGTTTCATTTAACTTTCTGGAAATGTCACATCCTGAAACTAAGTTTTATGTACTGAGAGTAAAAAGCACATCTTTGGAATAAGTTCAAAACTGAAATGCTCAATTAACAGCTGAGCTCCATTCCTGTGACAAGGTCATTAAGTAAATTGGTCATTGAATGAGGAATTGTATGTAGCATGTACATGACATTATTCAGAAGAAATGGTCAAAGGAAACTCCAACCTGATGACTTTGCTTTTATTTGCCTAATTTTTACATTCAGTATTTTAATGTATAACAACATAAAACCCCTGTACTGTACAGTACAATCAGCAAAACTTACAGTACTGCATAAACAAAGTGTACTGTATAAAAAGGACACTGAGGCCCTATTAGCACCTGTACAGAACTGCCACCACCTCCCCCCCAAAAAAGACCAGCCATAAATCAAATGCCACACCTTTGTCATCAATCTGAACAGTCATTAATCAGGTGGGTCAGTAAACAGAATGTCTGTATTAGACATCATATTCTCAAAATAGTTCAATGAAGATTAGTGGTTATATTAACAACACTTATTCTCCAGTAGCCTTAAAAATACAGAAGCCAGTGCCTGGGGCCCACTCCCCTGGGGCCTCCCTGCCATCAGCAGCCAGGCCAACTAGAGCAATGGCCAGATGGAATGGCAGAAAGGAGAAAGACCATCATTCAGGAAGATGGCAGAGTGGTGGGCAGCAGAGAGAGGGCCTCTCTGAGGCCTGTGGCTGAGAATTGAAGCCCACCAGGAAAGTGAAGACAGCCACTGCAATAAAGACCCAGCAGACTACAGTAGTAGGTGAGTGTTTGGGATCAGCAACTTCTACCAGAACCCACATTTGCTGTGAGGAAGGGGGTGCTCAAGCCTGCCATAGAACTGTGCAGACTTTAAACCCACAAGCAATCAGGGAGCTCACTCCTGGCCTTGCAACCAGAAACCAGCCTGAATCTCAGTGGACTATGGCTGGCTTGCTGAGAATAAGTGACTTGGATCTGCACACTGCTGCCTACTTTGTCTACCAGTGACAGCAGAGACATACCTTGAAAGGAACGTTTTTCTTTCTTTTTCTCTTGTCCTCTTTCTTCCTCTTCTTCAGTTCTCTCCTTTCCTGTTTCTTGTTTCTCCTTTCTGACCCCAGCTTCATGGGCCCATAGGCCTCAGCCAAAGACCCACCTGGAAAAGAGCTGCACAGATGCACAAGCAACAGCCAGAGTCCTCCTGCCCTGATAGCATTGGTAAGGGAGCACAGATCCCAGCCAGAAACCTGCTCAGACACCAGCAACTGGGGTGCACAGACCCCAGCCAAAGACCCTCCCAGACACCAGCTATGTAGGAGGGTAGGCCCTAGCCAGAGACACAGCTAAATAACATCCCAAGTGTGCACAGGTCCCAGTGAGACCCCGATGGACAACAGGACAGTACAGGGATCCAGAAGGCCAGCACTCTGAACCCAAGAATTGGTGCAGTGATGAGCAGCAGAGAAAAGGCCACTCCGTGGCTTGCTGAGAATTGAAGACCACTGGGGGAGCAAAAAGGTCTCCTTAACAAAGGCACAGCAGCTGCATCTGTTGAAATGAGAAGAACTGTAAACAAGTCTCAAAACCAGACTTCCAGATCACCTAAGGCAACCCAAAAGTGCAAAAAGATGGAACAATCTGATACTCAACCACCTGGACTCCCTGAACTGAAAACAAAAGAGGATCTGGAAAAAATGAATTCAGAAATAA